GTGAAAAACCCACCAGAAGGTGTAGACTTAATGGCTGTACTTCACAAACTTATTATGTACTTAATTTATTACCAGGCAACACTGTCAAAATAAAACCCACTTTTCCTTATTCTTAAAAAAAAAAAAAAAGATGGATTTGGCAGGGGTTACCACTAGCGGCGAGCCTTTTCTAAAATCAGGATTGTTTGTTTTGCGGGGGGTGAAGCACCATTCTCCGCACTCCAAGCATATTTGTTTCTGCTCTGCTTCTATGACCCAGATTTTCTTTTCTTCCACGCCTTCATTCTGATGTCATGGGACTTCCAGAGCAATGTACTTCTCTTTTGAAAACCTCATCATGTGAGAGTCATGGCTTATATGGGTTTTGTTCCCCTCCCTTGGGATCTGTAGTCTTTGATCCAGCAGCAGCTGTATGGGAAAGTGACGATGCTTTCTGGATGTTCCTCACAGCAGAGTGAATTAGGAAAGAAAGTTTTTGTTAACTATACTTCATTTAACTTAGTTTAGTCAGGAAAAACAATTGAGATAAGGGCTATGAAACAATCTCTTAACTTTGTTACCATCAAGGGTTTCGGTTTCTCTCCCCAGCTTAAATTTTGGATAATTGACAAGATGCGGAGCATTGGGGTGTGTGTGTGTGTGTGTGTGTGTGTGTGTGTGTGTGTGTGTGTGTGTGTGTGTGTGTGTGTGTGTGTGTGTGTGTGTGTGTGTGTGTGTGTGTGTGTGTGTGTGTGTGTGTGTGTGTGTGTGTGTGTGTGTGTGTGTGTGTGTGTGTGTGTGTGTGTGTGTGTGTGTGTGTGTGTGTGGCATGGCAGGGATAAGACACGGAAAATACAAATTAAGCACAGTCTCCACGTGAAGCCCTCAAATTTCCCTTTTGTGCTACTGTTCATAGTTGCTGTGTTTGTTTCACATTTGTCCTCTGCAGAGTCCTGCACTCTCACCAGAGGCTCACAATAATCTCCCTGAAGAAGAGAATGTTCTAAGTATACACCCGAGATGATCGAGACAAGTGACCTACTCAAATCACAGTTCCATCTGCATGACCCGGTGCTAGAACCCAGAGATAATATAGATTTGATATTTCACCTGCAGGTCCTAAAGCTAGGTTCTTGTGAAGGCTGGAAGTGGAAGCTCCATCCTTTTCCACTTGGGTTTATTTAATTTTCACAGATACAGTACTTTAGTGGCTATTTGAATGTCAGGTGCTAGAATACAGAGCACTCAGTGAACCAAACCTTGCTCATAATTGATGGGGGTGGTGAGCAGGTAGGGCTTTGGCACAGTGTAATTAGCACTGTGACCAAGAAAGTTGAGTGCTATGGAGCACACAGGAGGGGCACTGACCTAGCCCTGTGTGGTTAGGGAAAGCTTCTGTGTAGTAAGTGACAATAATTGGAGACCAAAGAGGGAAGGTTGCTCCAGGAGGAAAGAACAGAATATGTAAAGGCATGAAGGCAAAAGGAGCTGAAAAGGTTTAGAATGTTGGAAGCCTAAGGAAAGGGGCTTAGAAAGGAAAGAGGTGCTAGTTCACAGGCCATGTCAGGGATATTTTAGCCTCAATTGAACTAGGCCACACATACTAATAGCACCTTTAACTCTAAACTCATCAATGGATCAATCCACTGATGAGTATAGCAGATTGTGGTCAGTCACCTTCCCAAAGCCCCACTTCTGAACACACGAGACATTTAGGGCACATTCTGGATTATATCAAACCATTATATCAAAACTGCAGTGGTTTATTCAGACAAAACTGCTGGCAAATGCTGGTCTTACTTAGTAGCAAACACATCCTTGGGCTTTGCTCTTTTCATTGGAAAAAACACAGATAAAACCTACATAAGCATCTCTGTGAATATATGCAAAAAGTATCAGATGTGTAGGAAGTGCCCAGTAAAAATTTATTCCCTTCCATTTTCCAGCCCTTTCTTATCACTTGTCCATCTCAGAGTAAATCTAGAAATCTTATAGTCCTTATAGCATCTAATACACCTGATTCACTTTCTCTCTGCTCATTTCTCCTGCTCTCCTGGTGCACTGTGCTGTAGCAGCACTGACCTCCTTGTGGTTTCTTGAGCAGCCAGACGTGCTCAACCTCAGGACCTTCTGATATCTGCCTGGCTTGTTTCCTTGTCTCAGTAAAGTGTTTGTTCACGTGTTACCTCCTCAGTGAGACCTCCCCAAACCACTCTTAAACTCCAGCTCTCCCACATGATTATGCTCCTCCTTCTCAGACTTCTTTTCTTTCAAGCTCTTATCACATTACTACATGTTACATATTTATTTAATTTTTTTATTTTTAAAGTTTATTTTTCATTATTTAGTTGATCATATCTCTTTCCAGTAATATGTAAGTTCTACAAAGACAAAAGTTTTTCTTCTTCTTCTTTCTTATTTATGGCTGCATCTCCAGAGTAGAGACTGGTGGCAGCCTTTCTGTGAATGAATGAGTGAAATGTTCCCTGAGCTCTCAGCTCATTGTCATCCACAATAGTGGAAGCTGGGTGAATAGCAGTCTTGAAGCACCTCGGTTGCTGTGTGAGCGCTCTTCTGGATCTGATGGGGTCGTAACTCCTAGATCCCCAATTAGGAAAGGATTCTAGCCTTCACTTCTTTGGAAAATGAAATTATTGCCCTTTGCCTTGCTTGCTCAGAGGCCACCTTCAGGGAGGACTTTAAACCCTTAAAACCTTTTGCACTTAGGCACTGGTTAGCTCATGGTTTTGACTGAAGGTGTGGAAGCCATCATTGCCTTCTTCAGCAACTCTTCCCTTTACAACTGCTGGATCGCTTAAGTTGTTTTTCTCCTTTGCTTGTCATTCTGTCCCCACTGTTGAATTTCAAAACCATCTCAAGCCAGGTGTGGTGGCATATGCCTGTAATCCCAGAACTCAGGAGGACAATGCAGGATTGCTATGAATTAGAGGCCAGCCGGGGCTACACAGTGAGTTCAAGGCCAGCCTGAATGAACTATATAGCAAGACCCTGTCTCAAAAACAAACAAACAAAACAGCCTCCTATTGAACCACATGGCTGTGTAAAGTCTCACTAGGGATATAGTTCTTGGAATGTGGCATCTATCCATTTTCTTGTCAGCCTTTGGGCTCTCAGGAAGTTATTGTGCATGAAAGACAGGAAATATTGAGATATCTCCTGGTATTGCTACCTACTTGGGTTCAGTTCATTCATTTACTCATTTACAGTATTTCTTCACATTTAGAGACTTCCCTGTCAAGTAAGAGAGACTGAGAGCAGACAATTAAAAGCAAGGGAGATATGGATATGGAAAAGGCTTTTGTATTGATCAAGTTCCTGCTACAAATACGTTGTATAACAACCTCAAAACTTCAGTGGCTTCCGACAACAAATATTCATTTCTTGGTTTCCTTTCTGTAGATCAACTGGAGTGGCCCTACTTCAGGGGACTTGGGTCAAAGTCTGTATCTGGGAGGGAGTGAAGAGTTAGAAACAGTAATTTAATCTATTATAGCATTGAACTGTGGCTATGGAGATTAGAGAACTCTTCCTCAAGATGGTAATTTTGATCTGTCTCAAAGGGTGGGTAGTTTTCAGGAAAAAACAAGTAGGCAAGAACATATATAAGTGCATGAAATTTTAAAAAACAGATTGAAGTAATGTCTTAATATTTATTAAAGTAGTCACTTTGGGTGATATGTAAGAGCTGTATGAAAATAAAGGTCATCAGAGTATCTGTTCATGAAGTCCAGACTTTACAGGGAGACCAGAAAGAGATGAAACAAAAAAGAGATCAGGAAAATACGCAGCTAAATATAATCTTAATCCCCTGGATGGAACAAATGTGTGAACTCAGAAGGGAAACTGGAATGTATTTTCAGTAACCAGCTCTGGTACAGTACGTATGTGCTGTTTTATGTTAATTTTATTTAATCCTTATAATCTGTGAAATATATCCTAATGATAAGTACAAATAAGCAAACTGAGTCTCAGTGTTGTCAGTAACCTAATGATTAGAGTTAGCAAGTCACAGGGGTACTATTTCCATGTAATTCTGTTTTACAAGGAATTTATTCATGAACTTCACTCACTAGTGTACACACTGTACTTCATCCTTAAGTGGGACTGTTCAAATTTACCAAACATGGGCCAGAGATTTAACTCAGTGGTGCTGCCACCTGTCTTGCAAGCACAAGATCTCAAGTTTGATCCCCCCACACAAAAAACAAAACAAACAAATATGTGGTTTTGAATAGCTACTATATTGCTGTATTTTTTTTCAAAAGGACCTGGAGCCTGGAATAAATAATATCTGTCTGTGGTGTTCTCAGGTCTCACCTCATTTCACGTGTGTTTAAGATGCCTCAAAGAAAATAGGATTCTTGCCTGTGTTGCTATTCAAAAACACTTACATTGGATGGTGGGATGTTTTGAAATTTTCCTTCTTTGCCCCAGTTTATATTACATACCAGCAAATATTCATAAATGAAGCAAGACTGGCTTGGTAAGTTCCTCTAGGTGCAGCAAAGGTTAGAGGTACAACTGGGTGAATAATTTCTACTAATTTGCAAATTACTTCTACTTAATACTAATCTCCACTACACAGCACAGATACTCCATGGTAATGTTCCTATTTATGAAGAAGTAAACATTTAACATTTTTATTTCTGGTGTCTTATTCATAAGTACTTAACAACTGGAATCACATTTCCCTGACCTTTAGTGTGAGTTTTTAACTAGAACTTATACAGAACTGGTTCCTTTTTGCAGGAGCCATCCTTTCCTCAGGTAGATTGTTAAACATTGACAGACATTTTTGTGTATTCTACATCTTGACCATCTGGAATTGGGTTGAAACATATTTCATGACACCTTTACCGTGTGCTCAGAAAGCTAGCAGAACTGATTTCTCTCATCTCAGAGACCATCTCATACGGTCACTTAAAAATCTTGTAATACTGAGCAATGCTTATGAGAACTGCCTCTCACTTTCTTGTGTTTGCTGTCTCATGATTCCCCAGGTGAGGGACACTTTGATGTTGCTGCCTCTCATCAAACTGACCACAAGGGCGAAGAGAGAAGATACTGTATGTGAGACTGGACCAGAGAGGGAATGGACTGGAATGCTGTCGGGCACAGGGAACACAGTACTCTCCTGAGAGCCTCTTCTCTGCCTCACCGAGTGGACTGCTATTTTCTTATGGTAAAAGGCATGTAGGAGTTTGCTATCCACCAAGCGAAGTTTTTGCTGAGCCCAAACAAGATTTTTGCCGCAGAACTGATCAAGATATCATTTCATTCCATCTTTGCATCTTTTAATCTTCCTGGTTGTAGTCTTATCTGTTTGGCCCTGAGAATTTTAAGCTACATACATTACTGTTATTTTTGTATACACCTTTCAAAATGATTGACTTAAGCTTTCTGACAGAAGAGGAACAAGATGCTATTATGAAGGTTCTGCAGCGGGATGCTGCCCTGAAGAGGACAGAAGAGGAGAGAGTGAGGTAAGAGGACACAGGAATCCTCAGGCGCAAGGGAAAGAAGAGGTGGTCTGAAAGAAAATGAGACTTTTGTTTTTAACCGCAAGTGGTAGTTCTGACTTGGAGCCTAAACTTACGGGTTCCAATTTTAGGTTCACTTCCTGTTCCAGAACTTTTCCTCCTGTGTCTCGTAATTTACTCCATTGGCCCCTGACCAAAAAATAAGAGTCTTGATTAAAAACAAGCCAGGTGCAGTAGCACATGCGAATGGTCCCAGCTACCCAGGAGGCTGGGGTGGGAGAATCAGGTGAGCCCACAATTTGAGACCAGCCTGGACAATATAGTAGGACCTCATTTTACAAACAAAACCATGCTCCCTTAATTTATTAAGTGACAAATTAAGAATGGAAATATATATATACATACACATGCTCCTACGTCCATTTATATTTGTAGATATTTTATATCCACGTTTTAATATGGAGTTCATTTTTTAACTAGAGCATAAAGTAAGATTTTTTTTTTAATTTCTAAAATGTTTTTAAAAAAAGTAAATTCAGGAACACCTTCACATTTTTGTGTACTTTCAGAAAGACAGGACTAAGACAGGGTCTCACTGAATTGTCCACACTGTCCTTAAACTCACCATCCTCCAGCCTCAGCCTCCTGAGTGCTAGGATTGTAGGCATGTACCATTTCCTCTGGCTGGGATTGATTTAGGCAAAAGTGAAAGTGTTTTCTAAATGGAGAGTGGTGGCACACCTGGAATGAATGAATGAATGAATGAATGAATGAATATATGTATGTGTTCTCTGACTGAGGCAAGTTTTCATTTGACTTGAGTTCCACAGGAGGAGTGGCACCTTTGACTCAACACCCTTGTTAGGTGGAACGCAAATGTTCCAACCCAAGTGTTCAGCATTTCTATCACTTCTGTTCACCTTTGTGGTAGAAAGGGCACTAAATCAGACACAGTCTAGGCCCTACTATTCACCATCTAAATCTTGGGTTTTGATGACAGAGAGAGGCTTCTTGATTGTGAGTTAATGGTATTACTTTTGTGGTCTCTATCCCAGGTGTTATACAAAAGGACCATAAACCATATGCTTATTTCCAGGGACACAAAGATCATGATGTTGGATTTATTTCCCATATTTTGACCCTAATTAAACATGAATGTCTTCCAAAAGAACATGCTGAAATTCTCATTAAGCACTATGGGCACTGAGATAACTTTTGTATAGGTAGTTAATAAGTTATAAAGGCCTTAACATACCTTTTATTTCTTATGCACTACAAAGCCCTGTGAGGTGAAGTGGGATAGAATTCCCTCATTTGATGGGTAAGAATATTGACTTTGAGACAGATCAGGTAACTTGTCCAGGATCACACCACCAGTGGGTGTCGGAAATGAGATTTAAATCCCAGTCTTGAGGTAATCATTCCTTAACTCTATCTCTTCTCCCTGAGAAAACAATAACAGGCCATCTTGGGATCTGGCTGTCAGGTAGGAGTTGGCTGTCAAAGCGTGAGCTGTGAATCATGAAAATGGAATCACATTCTTTCCTACAAGTCACTTGTGATTCACCTGTATCTGGGTGAAGGGCTGCTCCCTATTCTTAGGAAGCTTGAGCAGTTTCCCCAGGAAAGACAGAGGATCAACACTCAGCTAGCCAGAAGAACCTCTTGGTAGCATTAATGCTTTACTTGTTCATAGTTTATAAAGACTTTTCATGAACATCTCTCTTATGTTTCTCATAACAAGCCTGAGATTGGCAGGATAGGGACTATTACACTCATTTAGGGATAAGGCACCAGGCAGTCTAAGGTGCAGTAAAAATGTTATGAGTTCTTTTGTAGTGTTGGTTTTGCAGCCTCTCCTCTGGTCAGCTGTTCCTAAGGGTGCTTTGGCAGCTATGGAGAGTGCTGCCCTGGGTTTCTGCTTTTGTAAATAAATGATGGGAAGAAGCCTTGGAATAGTAAGAAATCTAGTGCAGGTCAAGTCCTAGTCCCTCTCTGGACCAAGCTCTTCTTGTGGACTTGGCCATGGGCAGGTCCAGGACCCTAGGATACAGTATGCACAGGACAAGGACAAATAAGTGTGATGCAATGGCCTGTGGGCACTGATGGAGCCCAACCTGTGGCCTATTCCACACAAGAATCTTGTGGAATGAGGAATTTCAGGGATGGTTTTGAGATTTCTCTGCCTCTGGACTGATGGAACCAGAACTGGATCTCTGGTCTGAAAATGCTATTCCATGGGTTTTGCTTATCAACTCCTTTGCCATCCTTGGCTCTTTGACCTTTCCTCTTCCATCAGATAAAGCTCTGGAAAGAAGCTCTTTTGGTCCATCTCAGTAATTTTACAGACAAGAAAGTAAAGCCCAAAGACAGGAAATGACTTTCCTAGGGTCATACAACTGTTAAGTACCAAAGCCATGTTAAGAAAAGTTCTTGGCCTACTGCTTTTCCCTTTGCCTTGTGCTGCTTGTTGCTATTTCTCTTAAAGGAACACTAAATTCAGTGATGTCACGGGGAAGGAACTCTAATGCATGGATCTTGGCATCAAATCTTATCTCTACCACTAATCAACTGGGGTTCAGTGGGCAAGTTGTTTAGCCCCTCTGAGCCTCATTTCAGAGACTGAATGGTCACAATATCAAATTCAAGTGTTTAAAGTTGGGATTAAGTAAAATATTTCTTTATCTTCCTGGAACATGATAGTTTCATCCCCTTATTCGCCGTTTCACCTGTGCCTTTTGAATGGACAGAAGACTCTAGTTAATAGTCTCAGTCCTCAGCAGGAAATCACTTCTAAAACTCTATTATTTAATGATGTAAAATTAATTGAATGCTTGTTAAGTACAGGGAACTGCTCTGGACAATGATGTGAAGAAAATTCTAGGGTGACTGAAAACATGATCCCAGCCCTGAAAGGTTGTACTACCTAATGACCTTTATCCATTTAATGGATCATCACATGCAAATTTAAAATTTAAATTTTGTTTGTCTAACATAATTTTACAATGCTCCAGTTCTTCTAGTTGGCATATGGCTTTAAAATACCAATTATGGAATCGTAATATTAGCCTAAGCAAAACATCTTTAGAAGACAAACCTACCACTAAAATTCAGATTGTTCTTTCAGACACTAATTTTTATGGACTTGGGAATGCAATCCTCCTGTAGCCATAAGGACATGACTAATGGGTTATAGCACCACTGCCTGCAGGGCCAGATACTGCTTCAGAGCCCTGAAGCTCCTATACAGTAGGACTTCAGTACTTGCAGTAGGACTTTCAGTAGCTGAGATTTAGAGTTCAAATAGAAATTGCTTGCCATTCCTGATACATCCAGTGCTTTGAGGCTATTTTCTTGGTACTGGGGATTGAACTCAGGTCCTTGTGCTTGCAAGGCAGGTAGCAGAACCACTGAGCTAAATCCCCAGCCCCACATCCAGTGCTTTGAATTGCTCTCATCCAGCCTCACGTAGGACACTTTGGAGATGATCTAGTTATATATTACCTCTCACCCTGATTTTATGGATGAAAAAATGAGTGTCTACAGAAGTATTCAGTTCTCAAGCCACTCAGCATGTTGGTGCTAGAATATCAACTAGGACCTAGGGAGACAGTCTCTATTGTATCTCTGCAGAACAGTTGAGAAAGGACAGTTCCAGGTCACTGTTGGCCCCACCTTTCTCTTTGTCTTGACTCTTTGCCTCTAGCCACAAATGCTATGCTCAAATTATCAGATTATGTCTCTAACGCCTAAGGGGAGACATTTCACAGACTTGCAGGGAAGCAGACTGGAACTCTCCCCGCTACCTCTCCGAGACTTCTCCCCTCTTCCCTTTATCCTTTTCTCCCCTTTTTATCATCTTCTCCTGCCATCTATCTATTGGTCTGGGTCTGTCTCTCTCTTCCACCCTGTCTTTTTAAGGAAACACTCCCATAACACACACATATAATTTCAGTCATATTTATGGTTTGAAAATGACACATTCTAGAGGTGTTTTTTCCTGCACTTTGTGTCACACTGCCAGCAGGAAATGGTTGTCTGTGTCCCACACCAGCACCACAGCCCCACCCCATGTACACACAACCGCATCTGCAGTGATGGATGCTTTTGCATCTTAGCCTCCACCACAGTCTCAGCTGCCTCCTGAAGACCTAGCTTGTTTTAAATGAAAGCAGTTGTCATTGAAGAACAGACTTCCAGGACCTCTGATGCTCTCTGTCAGAGCAAGAGGAAAAGGAGCCCTCATTTATGAAGGGTCTGCACTGCACATGGAGCTTCACATACATTTTTCTCCTTTCTTCAGCAGAACATTTTAGCTGAACTGTTCAACAGATGAGGAAATAGGGTGAATGAAGGCAAGTGCCCTGCAGACTTAGATCCTTGCTGATCTAACTCCCAAGCCTGTGTGCTTTCTCTACACTGTGCTGCCTCTCAGCAGATTGTGGGGTTCTATGATGTGTTCACGTAAAACAATGCATTTTCTGACCTTTTTCAGTATATAAAAAAAATTGCCCTCTATTTAGTCTCCAGATATGTTGGTTTCCAGATTCTCCACGAAAGGTTGAGTCCCTTGATATAAAGAATGAAGTGTGGTCACCATCTTAAAACCACAATCATGTTTGATTCTCTGAGGTGGGGTGGGGTAGTGGAAAGAGTCAGGATGGTTGCCTGTCCCAGATCTGTGTGGCCTTGCACAGGTCTCTTTACTTGTCATTTCATCTAGAAAGTGAGGCCATTTGCAACTATGTAAGGGTTCTTCTAGCTTTCACATTCTAAATATCTAAGAATACTTTCAAGTCACACAGTCTTACCCAGAATATCCTGGAGGATTAAAAAGAACAGAGGCGGCTAGAGAAAGCATCCACCATATCTCTGCTCAGCCTGCTGATTCTTACCCTCCATGCTTGGCTAGATAATATCAACCAGGTCCTGCTCTGAAGTTATATCTGTTCATACCTAGAAGCTGGAAACTGGGTTGTTCACATGTGAGCGTAGGAGGGGAGTGGGGGATGGAATAAAGTGTTGAAGCCAGTGTGCTGGGCTGTTCTTTTGGCTTTCCTCTAATTCCTCACATTATCTGTGCCCTGAAAAGAATTGACGGTGGCAGTTAGAGCTATAGATTGAATTTTTATGTACAATTCCACACATATGCCTGGTGTGTGATGGGGAATTCGTGAATGAACAAGTGAACAAATAATCAGATAGAACATAGATACATCTTTTACATGCAGAGAGGCACAATGGCCATCTTTTGTAATTAATTAAGTTCTTTGTATATTATGGTAAAAGGATTAAATGATATAATGCATGTTGAGTGCCAGATGTGTGGCTCAGTACAAAGCAGATACAGTTTAAGTTTTAGCAAAGGGAAAGGGGGAATGGGTAGCAGGATGTCCTGGGTGCGTACTGCCCGGAATGCTGACGGGCCGAGCGCCCTTCTGCCTTCACTTCTGCCCACCCACACCCTGTGTTCTTTGAGCATCTTAATCTTCTCTATGCTTGGCTCTGTACGAAGCACAATGTGTGTGGAGAGACTGGTAAAGGACAAAGTATCATTCCCCTCAAATTTACCCTTTTCCCTTTCAACTAGGCAATGTAACAATTGAAAATCTAGTGCTGACGTGGTTGGTGTGATTCCATTCAGAGAAAATGAAATGCAAGATCAACATGCACTAGTAGAAGAGATTTTAATGGTACCGTATTGGAATTTTCTAATGATCTACATCTTTACAAAACTCGGTCTTTTTTGTCACACATATGGCATCACCTATAAAATATTATAAGTGACCAAGACAGACAAAGACAGTGATTATTAAACCTAACAATGATAATCATGTTAGGAAACACAAAAGTAGCACCTAAGTTTTAAAGAATTTTGTTGTTTTTCCACTTTGGGGGGGAAAAAGGAGCTGGAAACCCTGTCCTTACCCTCATAGCTACTAGCCTTTTCAGGGACCATGTGTTTACATGGGTCTGGGTCTGATGCACACAGCCTGTCCATGTCTGTTGGTTAGGGGCTTGCAGCTGGTCATTTAGGCAGGAACACATTAAGAACTGCACAGGATCCCTAAAAAGTGACTTTCAGTTGAACAAAAATTAATAATCTCATGCAGAGAAATTGGGAGTAGTTATGCTATGGCAGTGTATGGTCTCCTTCACTAAAAATGCTGACAGCTATTATATTTTATGGGGTGTGTGTGTGTGTGTGTGTGTGAGTGTGTTTCAGTTCTGATGAGAGATGAGCATATCCTGCCTCATTAGAAGGCCCTGCCATTGTGATGGGTTAGGGCTCCATTTGAACCTAGCAATGACAAGATCTTCATTATGCCTTGCCTGACTCGGACTAGGGTGACTGCTGAGCATTTATTTGACTTGGTCACTCAACAAACAATTACTGGGTATCAGCCCTGTGCCAGGCTCTGTGCTGTATGTCAGGGTTACAAAGCTGATTATATGTAATCCTCGTCTTCAGGGAGTGTGCACAGTCAACAGATCAGTGGGTGAAATGGACGTATAAACAGATTATTGTAACCTGATGTGGTGAGTGCCTAGGGTTAGGTGTTGTGTGGGAGCTTGGAATAGGGCAAAGAGTGCCCTCCTGATCCTGAGCTGAAGCTAAAGGATGAGAGGCAGGATGTTGGAAAGAGGAGTAAGGGAACGACATCCTGAGAGGCTTCACATTCACTGGGTTCCTCCCAAGATCAGTGTTCAGGCAACACTTCAATTACCTCTCTTCGAAGTCCTGCAGGGTAGGTCTCACCCTCCCACCCCCGCCAGAACTTGGATTTGGACATAATTTGAGAAGCCTCCACAGCCCGTATTCTTTCCCTTATACTCTCCTGCTCTTAGCTTCTACAGGAGTCACAAAGGGCAGTTTGGAGGGCAATAGGAAGTTGAGTATGTAGGGTGAGTAGAGTGTGCTCAATGGTGAAAAATGAATCTGAAGCAGTAACTTGAAGCCAGGTGGTCAGGAGCCCAGTGACACTTCATCTCTGCAAGCACTGATTCAGTGCCCTGTCCCAAAGAGTTCAGTCTGCTAGGCAGAAGTGGAAGGATTTCTCTCTTGTGGAACTGAACTTGGGCTTGGTCCTGTTGGGAGCAGAAGGCAAAGCTACATCAGTAGCTCAGCAGTGTTTGTCTGATCTGTTCAAAGCAAGGAGAAACCACTAGCATTATTTAGTAAGAGCCATACTCTCTTTGATGGCTCAGAACAATAAAGTGAGAATACTGTCCTAGTTAGAATTTGGAAATGGGGTACCATGACAATGCATGCCAGGCTTGTGATTGGACATTTTTAGGATAGGGTCATTTGTTCCTAGGTAATTGGGAAAGGAGAAGAAATTCCAGCAGAGTTGACGTTAACTAGGCATTCTTGGCAGGAAGAAGACATTTTTGCTAGACATAGGGTGACTGCCCCCACCTGTTTCCTCTATTACCAAGTATTCTTGTATGTAGCCCTCACACCCAGCCCTGCTGCAATGTTGGCCCCCTCACATTCTCTGGCCAAAACAGTTAGATTTGCTACTTTTACTTTAGGAGGGTTTGCATATTGGCTCAAATGACCATCATAAAACTCTTGGACTTGTGTAGTACATTGTCTTTCAAGAGTTCAAAATTTCCTAAAGGTTTTTACTCCACTTTATTCTGAGTATATCTCTATAAATAAGAAAAGAGAGATTTGCGCTTCCCATTTTATTGAGATAGATTCAGAGGCCAAAGGACTTATCAATTATACCATGGTTTTCTAGTCCATATGAATTAGGGAAGTTTTAGGAGAGCAGCATTGCTATTTACTTTTCACTGCAACCCTTAAAAGCAGTATCTGCACAAATGGAATTTGCCTGCACATTCTGCATCTGTGATTCAGTCTTTCTTGATTCTCACTTGCCTTTTCTGTGTTCATTCCCTTAATATTAAGGGCTAGGGACATCATGACCCCTTCCCTCACAAGCGTCCAAGAATGCTTCTTCATAAACTCATTTCACTACAATGGAAAGGACAGATGAACTGGTAACTATCTGTTGTTATTTATCCAGTGTTTATTAAGTATACACATATTACTAGTTCATTTAACCCTCAAAATGACCTCGAGAGGTGGGTTATTGTTATAAGCTCCTTAATCAATGCTCAGGAAAGCTTACTATATCGTTCCCCTCTGGGGTACTTGCATTGGAACAGTAGACAGAAGACTACAATAAATGAATCTGCTTTTTTAATTTCAGATATCATCTGAGGATCATGGCTTAAGCCTTTGAATTAAAATACATAGATTGGCTTTGGGTTCTCTGAGTTTTCAATCAAAGAGGAACATTTGTTAGTCGTCTGGGAGGTTTGTGGTGTCTAAAATACTGAAAGCTTCGTTTGGCCAGTATTTTTACAAATTTATTTATGCAGTGTCATAGTGAACTCATTTATTTACTGAGAGTTCTCCACAAAGTAAAGCTCTTTTCCTTTTGTAGACATTTGCCTGAAAAAATTAAGGATGACCAGCAGCTGAAGAATATGAGTGGACAATGGTTTTATGAAGCTAAAGCAAAAAGGCACAGAGAAAAAATCCATGGTGCAGATATCATCAGAGCATCCATGAGAAAGAAGAGGCTCCCAGGAGCAGGTGAGATGATTGAGCTGTGTACTTACAGCCAGTATTTCTTCGGGAAGGAGGAATGGGGAAGGATGTCAGAATCATTACTGGAATCTGGTGAGGGAAGTGTTTCAGAGGTGAGCTTTGTGTAATTTATTTACTCTGCAGCTCAAAATCCTCCTGCCTGGGGTTTACATGGATGAGGGCAGGGCCAAGTGACTCAGTGTGGGGCAAAGGAACACAGGAAGCCCTTTTGGCACTGTGTTGAGTTGTAGTAGCATAGCTATTTGGGGTTCGTCAGAGGTCTACAACCGCCTCTTTGGCTATTAACCCTGGAAATTCAGAATCTTCTGAGTAAGGTGAAGGTTTAGACAGAGATCAGCCTTCCTGTTCGATGGTCTTGACGGTATTTTTTAAATCAACCAAATAACATTCTTTTTTGTTTCTTTTTATTGAGTTTATTGGTACAATCTAGGTATACAGTACAGTTACATTCATTATTGGAATCCTGTACTTTTTACATGATAGGTCTTGATTCTCATTTTTTCCCCTTGTCCCTGCCCTCCCTTCACCCCCTCCTCCCCTCCCCATTTACAAACACTTTATTTCCATTTTTCAATTTCTCATATTTTTGTCCTCTCCCTTATTACCTTTCCCCCACCCTTCCCACTTTCCCTACACTTTTAGCCCTTTACTTCCTATTTCACATTATTAATTATCTCATTAGGATCCTGTGTACTATTATAGTTTTTCACACCAGAGAAACTATTCTGTATTTCAGTTAAAGAAATCTCTGTATGAACATTAAAAACAGGGAATCCTAAAATAAAACTAAAAAGGAAAGTAAAAGAGAAAAGGCAATGATGTAAGATTAAAATAATCCTTAATTCTGAAGGTGAAAATGGTCCCTGAGCATATTTAAGTTGCTTCTTGCTCTTATAGTCTTATCTTATTCTTTTTTTTCATTTAGAGAATACTTTATTAGTTTCTGTAATCAAACCCACGTAGATATGACCTTGCATATTTAATACAGTGAGTTACCCCTGTACAAATGGAAAAAATAAAATTAAATTAAAATTTAAAAAATTAACATTTTTAGACCAGTATGGCTGTCAATTTCTGTACAATGCCAACTCAACACAGTAAATTGGGATAACTTTTTCCAAAGTTGACAGCACAGTTAGTTTCCAAAAATTCAAATTATATATATGTACCAAATGACATTCTTTAAGGGACCACAAAGGTAATATTTTGAGGAGTTATGTAAAATTTTTTGAGCTTATTAGATATTTACTGGGTGCCTTTTCTCCCCTGTCTGGGTCTAATCTGTATCCCATAAAGAAAATAGCTATTCCCTTTTGTGTATCTATTATAGATGTTTATTCTGTTATTTCTAACTGTTGTAGCAAATCTTTCTCAGTGCCATACTCCATGCAGATAAAGGCTACTTGCTTTGTGTGGACAATGCATTGTATGCAGCTCTCTTGCTTTTTAAAACCACCTAGACCTTATGAAATCTTGCAGGGTACTGCTTAGCACTGTGCACTCCATTTTGCAGTTGAAGAAACGAGAGTCCTGTGAGAGGATACCACACTGGAATGTATTTGGCAATTGAAAGGCCCACTATTGTTTTCTCTTCTTAACACTGATGAATCTTAATTTTGGCACATACTTGTTGTGTAGCTTTAGGCGATTTTCTTGAACTCTTTGTTCCTCGATTTCCAAATTTCTAAACTTGGAAAATTTGTTCTTGCCTTATAGGATAATACAAAGAACTCAGCATGGTAGTCAGTCATCACTCCAGTTTATGCTAATTATCAGAGAGGTTCAGGTAAAGAAAGAATATTGGGTAGTCAGAGGCAAAAGAGGTTATTTCCTTAAGGAGCCCAGAGGTTTTATGGGGCTCTGACATCTGGGCTGAGTGTTGACTTATATGTAGAATTTGGATATAGGTTGTGGGGGAAAGAGAATGGAACAGTCTAGATTAGAGTCTTTTGTTCCCCCTTTGAATCTCAGTGGCAAGTATCCTCTTGTACATCTACATTGTAGATGTTTGGGGAAACTTGTTATAGATGAATGCTTCTACCCCATTGAATACTCCCTACCCTGCATATCCCCTGGTCAACTTCAGTCCTGACCCCAATTCAAATCAGATTAACCTAGAGGCAGTCAGAATTTCCTATTAGTGACCAACTGAGTTACCTGGACATTTAAAAGTACAACCATGCTCTTAGAAAACTCTGCTTGAGGGAGACCTAATGTCATGGGAATTTATTACCTTTTCTTAAAGAAGTGATTGTGCTCATGCGACTCAGAGGTTGCTTTGGCATTCAGAAGGCCTAAATTTCAATTTTGAGCCCTGAGTGATAAGAGCTGATAAGAGAATTATAGATTGTGGAAATAAGAGATAACCTTCCTGTCTTTATTATTTCCTATTTCAGCTGGGCAGAGTAAAGACAGAGCAACCAGTGCAAAGGAAAGCTGGGTGAATAATGTCAACAAAGATGCTTTCCTTCCCCCAGAACTATCTGGTATCGTAGAAGAGCCAGAAGACAAGTCAGCCCCAGCAAACCCAAGGTAAGATGGAGATTGTCAGGAGAGCTGTTGCTATGGGTTTCATGGCTTGGTGCATTCCATGGGCCAAATGGCAATCCAGGAGCACAAAGGCTGGCCTGATGTGATAGGCATGCAGAAAGAGTAGCATCTGAGAGAATTCTGGGTCTTGACAAAGACAAAGCCTAAGCAGTACTTTTTCCCAGCTTCCAGCATTTCTAAGAAACCTAAATCTTAAAATGTCAAATGTGATTTCTTTCAGCACCAGTGGTAGCTGTTTTTTAATTTGTCCTCTTTAGGACAAAGAGATATTCCAAAATGTGTATAGGACAGTGATGTCAAAACTTGCAGGGAGTGAGTGCCCAAACTGCAACCCAAACCCAGTTATTTATTGCAAAGTGCCAATACTGCGATTAACCTGAGAACTGAGCTTTTAGTTTAGAAAAAACCGCTGTTATCCAGTGCTCACCTGCTGGGGCAATTTGGCACATGTATGGAGAGAGAGAGCTCTGTCTACCCACTTTGGCATGTGTGATACAGAAGAATAAGTCATTTAGGGAAAGAGATGAATTATGATCAGGTTGTAACATCTTTGTGCAGTGGAAGAAGTTGAAGCACAAGAACCAGATAGACTTGAATTCAAATCCTGAGTCTGCTATTTAATAGCCATTTGGCCATGGGCAAATCACTCAACCTCTCCAAGTGTATTTTCTTAACTACAGAGAGGAACAGTAACATATACCCAAAAGGATATGTTGAGAATTAGTCATAATGGAATATAATGGAATTAGTGGAGAGGAATACATCTTAAAGATGAAGAATTGTTACTAAAATTTCAATTTTGATTTTTTTTCATGTTTTCCATGACCAATTAAATTGTACATTTATATGTCCTTCCTAAGAAGTAACTGATTGTAGTGCTATATTGCCACGGACCTTTTGGGATATGATAATTTGCTTTTAGGTATTCAAAGATCTTCCTACTATGTCTTATCTCTTCAGAATATGGTTGTTATACATTGGCAGAGGAGAGCTGCATTTTATCTTTAGATCTTTAGTGAAGATCCAGACTATTCAATTTAGTCTCCAATTGAAATGAAATAAATGAATTTTCTGGTGGGACTGAATCAGACTGCAAGGTTGAAACACCATGGAACAGAGATATTTCCAACAGTAAAATACATAATTTTTACTCTATCAAGGTGCCTATTACGTATCGATTTCCCAGTTGTTTCCCAAAATGGTTGGCTTCACTCTTTCCTGCTAGGACTATTTATAATGTTCTATTTTACGTTGAGGCCATGTTGGCCAGCAAGTAAAGTACCTCAGTATTCCCTCAGTCTTCCTCAATTTGAGTCTAGTGATATAATTTCCATAATTTGTGTTATTCTCTGTATTCCCTATGTGACCGTAGACATGTCTTTTGGGTCTTATCTGTAAATCATCAAAACAGGGTTTCGTCACTAGAATGCTGTGAGATTAAATGAAATAAGGTATGGGAACCGCTTAGCATTTCTCAGGAAGAAAATTAGCCATTTCCAAGGGGCATCATAATAGTTATTATTACATGGATAAGATGTGGTGCCGAAGGCAAAGAGGTTAGGTGTGGCCAATATGTCTTGCTCATGTAGCCAACCCTGCCATATGTGGTATAGGTGGTAATCACTCTGAACTGTAGAAGGAGCTATTTTTCACTTCCTCCTTTCCAGGTCAGAAAGCATTACTTTACTCCATATCAAGTTCCTGCAATGTTTTCACTTACACTTTAACCTTTGTGAACTGGGTGTGTTAAATGTATTCTGGGGCCTGTACTTTTAGACTAAGTGAATTTCAACAGAATGACTCAATACTTGTCAATATTTTCTTAGCCAGGAGTCAGAAGCTGAAGAGTGTTAAGGCCACAGTGGCTGCATATTGCAGTTTCTAAAGGAATTTTCCTCATAGGCTTAGTAGCAAGGTCCTTCTTACAGTTATAGGCACGTTTCTATGGGGTCCTATACGTGAAGAATTAAAATACTGAGTGCCTAGCACATAGTTGAGTATTGGCAACTACCTGCCAATGAACTCACTTTTGTTTGACGTGTAGCACAAGGAAGCAGAAAGATGGATGAGCAGAGAATAAGAATTCCCTTTAGAGTGGCGAAGGGAAAATTCCAACACTCAAGGTTCTTGTTCTAGCTATTGACTTTAACATAGGCAGTGTGGGCTGTACCAGCACTTTATAAAGTATAGTAAAGGATCTGTTTCACTTCAGATTTTTATGTCTACCCATTATAGATTGATACCTTTTGTAAAATGTAAAAATGAAATACAGAAAATAAAAACGTTGTACAACAGACCATTGATCATGTGCTATGATGTAAATGGTTCTCAACCCATCCTTCCAATTTCTGTACTTATTGTGAATCAGTGATAAAGAGATCATGGACTATTACTGGTCCACAAACCACACATGGATAGCACATTGTATCCACTTCCCTAAAATGATTGAGAACCTTTCCCTAAAATTGACTGACTTCTTTCATTTACTGCCCTGCATTCTCTTCAAGACCACCTCTTTGAGGACTGGACCCTCTGTTAGCTTGTATTGTCTTTGTTCTATAGCTGCAGATGGGCCAGCCAGGCCTCTGAAAAAAAAAATGCTAGTTACTCTAATGTGTTCCAGGCTTCCCAATTCTTTCTTCCTCCTGGTTTCTCCTCCTATACTCTTCCCAACCCACATCCCTTAGTTGTCTGGTAGTGTCCTCCTCTCTTCTTGAAGGCATCTAACCTGAATTTACCCTAAAGAATGCTCAGCTATTAAAATAATTTGAGCCTGCATGGATAGAAATGTTAATCTTTCCTTTTCTTAATGGTCACCTTACTGAATCATGAGTCCAGATATGTTTGTGACATCCTAATATACCACCCAAGTAGTCCTTATCATCTAGTTTATAGCACAGATGAGTCATTAAGATAGGGCAGGTATGTGTCTGCATACTATGCAGACTTTTCTGAGAACTTTCAAGTTCTGATGTTTCTAAAAGATTTTAGAGTTACCTTGTCTTAAGCATCCTGATAAAGATAGGAGGCAAATTCATAGGTAGAAAGAGGCTTACAGTAGGGGTAGTGTGCATCTCAGTGACTTGATATCACACTAAGAAAACACTATAATAACATATCATCAGTTATGGAAAGAATACTTTTACTGGGTCATCAACATGCCTAATGTTCGGATGGAAATATTTGTGTTTGACAGATGTGTAGCATGAACTGTGTAACACTGGAGGACTGTATGCCCACAAGCAATATTTTGCTTCAAGACAATTCTAACTTGAAGAGCTTGGCACAACGTATTTTCTAATTTGCTTCCTTTGCTCATCCCTGAGCTATTTCTTCATTGGTTTATTTGTTCAACTTCACTGGATGCCATCACAGAGCTGAGTGCTAGGGGTGAGAAACAGTGTCACCCCTCCAAGGAACTCACAGTCCAAAGGGAGAGATCAAAGCAACAAAGACACCTGAAAAAAAATCACTTACAGAATTTCTTTCTGATTCTATAAACATAACATTATCTAATATCATAATGAAGCAAAATAATTTTTTCTAACTGCTATTTCTAATATTGTAGGTGTTTTTTTTTTTTTTTTTTTTTTTTTTTTGGTACCAAGGATCAAATTCTGGTCCTTGTGATTGTGAGGCAGGCACCAGAACCACTGAGCTAAATCCCCAGCCCTGTAGGCCCTTTTTGAAGAATGCCTGAGAGAAGAAAGTTACAGGTTGTGGGATAATGAGGTTTGACTTTCTTTATAACTTTAAAAAATGTTATTATATGGAATTCCTTGAGTATCTTTTACATCCGGGACAGTCTACTACCCTCTGGGAGAAGTCCTAAGGAAGAGCAGACACAAAGAGACTATATTCTCTTAGGAAAAAAGAATGCATGTATATATAAAGACCTGATCACATGATAGTAAAGAATGCTGGCAGGAAACAAATTTCTAACCCAAAGTACCAATAAAACATGCCGTAATAATTGAGATAAGGAAGACTCAGTCCTAGCAACGATAATACAGGAGATGATATTTGGATTGGGCTTGAAGATGATGGTGATAATTTAGATAGAAAAAGAAGCCATGGAATTGGTTGAGTGGAAACAGCAAAGAGGTAGGTGAGTTTCTAGGACAAGTAGGTAGGCCACTTGTTTGGTATAAAGGGTCAATAGAAAGGAAGAGTAGGGTGTATATTGGGACAAATGATGAATGGGCTCTGGTGCCTGGCTTGGAATTCAGACTTCATTCCTTGAGGATCCAAGTTATGTTTTAGACCATTTCAGTTTAGTGCCTAAATCATGAATGGATTAGAGGAGTGGAACTTTCAGATGGACACAGATGAGGCAAATACAATAAAAGAAATAAGTGTCATCAAAAGTTTAAAAAAAGAGACATGTAAAACTCACTGGGAAGTGGAAACCACTGAGATCTGACACTAGTCTTACTACAAACCACTGCTTTAATCATGCAAGAAATCAAAAGCAGATTAATCTAGTCATTACCGTGTTTGTATCTGGAGTCAGACTCACCTGAATTCAGATCCGCCACTCTCACAACCTAATTTTATGGCATCTAGCAGGTTGCTTAACCTCTCTACTCTGGAGTTGTTTTCATAAGGAAAATGAGGAGGACGGTACATACCTCAGAGATGTTGCAAGGATGCATTGAGAGTGAGATGATTGCTGCAGTGAGAATTACCCAATAAGACAGGAGAGCAAAACACTGCAGTATTCCCAAAGAGAGGCCAAACCACTAGGAAGCAGCTGAACTTTTGGACAGAGTTTGAAACATAAGCTTTTATTTTAATATCTTTCAACCAAACCGATTATGAACAGTAGGTAACCAAGTCGGCTACCCTTTTTATCTTTTTGCCTTATCCCAAACACAAAGGTAGCCCAGTGAATACTGTGTTTCTGGTATTTTCACATCTGCTCGGAGTCCTAACTGCTTTGTTTTCTCCCTCTCTCTTGTTTCATGAATAAGAAAAGCTTAATTCTCTTGTTTCATGAACAAGACCATTTGTTTAACCCCCTAAATAATCTGCTGAACTGTAGTTTGGCAAACAACACAAGTTAAAATTGAAGCAAGACAAAACCTGTCTGCTGCTGCTGCCCCTGGCAGTGGCTCATTTGGCCTTCGGTTATTTAGCCATTGACTAGTTATGTTCCAGGCACTGTGAGTGATGAAGATGATCTCTTGATCCCATTCCCTAAATTTACTATGTGCAACACAAAATGAGTTTGCATAGTAGACGTGAAATACAACTCTGGATAGAATTCCTTAAGTGAAAGACTAGTTTCATGTCTAAGAAAGGGGATCAGCATGCAGTGGAGTAAGGGCTATTGAGGCTGGGATATAGAGACAGAATTTCCAGGGAGCTGAAAGAAAATGATGTAGAGGCTTTAAAAAAAATTATTTGGGGCTAGAGAACAGGAAGGAGGAAGAAGATGGTGGGAAACATGGGTGTTCCATAGAGACCTGAAACACCAGCACTTGGCTTAGGTCCTCTGTGTGACTGCTGTATTTATTTATTTATTTATTTATTTATTTATTTATTTATTTATTTATTTTTGGTACTGGGGATCAAACTCAGGACCTTGAGCTTGCAAGGCAGGCAGCGTAACCACTGAGCTAAAGCCCTAGTCCTGACTGCTATATTTATTAAGGGAGATCATACAAAATACCTGTACTGAGAAATTGAGCACAGCATCTGCTATAAAGATGTTTTTCCTCAGATTACTCACTAGTCTTAAAATGAAGAAAATTTGCTTTTTAGTTCTGAAATGTTGGTTGTTTTTGTTGTCTGAATGCTGAATTCTATTAGTAACCAGGTTTATTAAAAAAATTTTTTTTATTGATAGCGGGGATCAAACTTGGGACCTTTCACTTGTGAGGCATGCAGCAGAACCACTGAGCTACATACCCAGTCCTCTTTATTAAATTTTGCTGCTAGATAACTTAATTCAAGTTTGTATCTACCTATTACAGGAATGGAGGACTCTTACAATGTGTCCTTCTGTCCAAATTCTTGCTCCGTAAGTTCCTCCTTTATTCCCTACTCTTTCCCTGTATCCCTTCCCCTCCTTTCTTTCATGTAATCAGGCTGTATTTTATATAATCTACATTATCTGCTATAATTCCTTTCTAGAACAAATAGGAGGGAGAAGAGAGGAAGAGTGGCTTCCTCAGGGTTTACCTTTCCTGAGATTAACTATGCCAAAATAGCAATTGAACTACAGAGGTAAGGAAAGGAAATTAACTGCAGAAATGTCTAACCCACAAGTTTAAGACTTAAGTTACAATAATTTAGGGCAAGTTTCCATGGCTTTGGGGCATACTGCTCCCTTTCCCAGGCCTTCAGTTCCTGCCCTGTGGGGAGACAGCCAGTACTTCGGGAGGTATTTTCTAAGCTCTTGATTCTGGGCTTCACTAAGCAAAGTAGCATTTAACAGGGAACTGTTATTTTACTCAATGGTGACTTCATCTCCTATGCCCCAGGCAAGGGCACTGGAGGAAGCAGTCTAAGCAGGTTCTCTCCCCTCCAGGGGCACTACAACCCTTCTTACCCTTCTTACTCACAGTTAAAGGAGTGGTGGTTCAGGAAGGAGCCTGCTAGACTTGTCTTTCCCCTTTCGCTCTTGCCTTACTATCTCACAGTGCTGCCCTATCCCTAAGAGAGGGAATCATAGTCCAGAGCAGTGGTGGCGAACTTTTCAGAGAGGAGTCCCCAAACTGCAACCCAAAGCCCATTTATTTATCACAAGCAATAAAACCTGAATGCCGAGGTTTTAGTTTTTTAAAAAAGCAACTCATACATTAACATCTTTTGTCTTAAAAGAAAATGAGTAACACCCACGTCATAAGTTCCCAGCCTCCGAGCAGAGAGTCCTCCTTACTTCTTTAAACCAGCTTCAGGCATCTACTCTTCCCCTATCTTCTGCATACTCTATTTGTCTTTACTCTTCCTTATTTGATTAAGAACTCACCTTGCCTTTTTGGATAGTTGTGTTGAAAGGTCTCAAGCACATCAGCCTGGGTGCATAGCGTCTACCTCTGGTCTGCTGCCTTTTCTGTCTCTTTGCCAAGTCGCTTGAGTTTTCTTCAGTTATCTTCGACCTGAGTTAAGACTAAGCACTGCCATTCTGGCCCTGCCTCCAATGGACTCAAGCTCTAAAATTTCAGGGCTTCTAAATCTTTGGGGCTTCTTTTCAGCAATGAAATCAATTGCTCCCTTTCTATCCCTCATCTGATCTTAGCTTAGTTCATTTCTACCAGTTTAAATTGTGAACCTCCCATGTTTCTAGCACTGGGATAAAAGCTGCTGATGGAAACGTTTGTCCTTTCTCATGCTTGTCTTTCATTACTGTTCCGCTGTTGCCTTTCCTTCAGGGCTAAATCAACCCTGGGTCCTGATTCTCTCTCCCTTCCTGGCAGTTTGATTTTACAGACTTCTCCTATCCTCTTTACTAGCTTTTGGCTTTCTTTCCCCACCCTGTTACTGCAGATCAAACTCAGGACCTTGTGCAAGCACCACTGAGCTACATCCCCAGCCCCTAGCTTTTGGCTTTTTAATGGCATGATTTATGCTTCCTCAAAGGGTAAATTTTTATTCTGTGAATTATGGTTTCTTTTGCAGTTCCAGTGCAGTAAATCCAGCTTCGTCTGTGATGACTATGTCCCAGGAAAATACAAGGAAAGCACCTTTGTCTCCAGCCAAGGTAGATTGAGTCCAAACTTCAAAAATCTGATTTTTAGTGGGAACGTTATTTTTCTCACTTTATCAAAGTACCAAGGAATAAAGAGAATTTTGCAGTACTTTTTTTTTTTTTGCTACCAAATACAGATAATTTTTACTATTTAGTGTAAGAAGTCACACTTGTGTGGTTGATGAATACTGCACTACGTTTATAGCTAAAAACCCAGATTTCTTGCCCCAGAGAGTAAAATCTGAAGCTATTTGGTACTGCTTCTTTCAGGTATATGTCCGTTTGTTTTTTTTTTTTTTTTGAGACAAGGTCTCACTATGTAGTTGAGACTGACCTGGAACTCACTATGTAGCCCAGGCTGGTCTCAAACTCACAGTGATACTCCTGCCTCAGCCTCCCGAGAGCTGGGATTACAGGTGTGCGCCACACCACGCCTGGCTCTGGATTTTTTAGGCATATGGAATGTGGCTCATTAGTTCTACCTCTGTCCTTTTTTTTAATTCAGAGCTTCCTGAATCTCCGTTAGAGATCTGCTACTCTGAGAGCATTATTAGTTTATACAACCGTAGACAGTAAACATAGATATTCAATCTTATATTAATAATAATCTGTGATTAGAATTGACTAACCATAAGCCACCTCAGGATAACGGAAGAATCTCCTAAGTCATTTGGAAAGGTCACTCACAATTGTATTTCAAACAGCTGCGATCTAGCACAAATAGCATCTGATGTTGTAGAAAGAATATTGGCGGAAATCTGACCTGATTAAAGATAAAGGTTTGCCCTGACCACGACCAGGTCTTTGTTATGTCTAAGCCACATTTTCTCACCTATAAATTACGGAGCTTTTACTTGAATGCCTGTCTTTGATCTAACTTTGTAAGTTTCTGGCATGGGGTATATCTTATGTAATTTTGCTTATTTATTTTGTGATTGAAGCTATGGTGAATGGTTAAATCTCAAAAATTTATTACAATAAAGACCCATTACTTTTAATACTCCTCAAAACACCTCCCCCCAATTCAAATAAACTCATCCCATCTTTCTTGCCACTTTCTGAAGCACTTCTGGAGGTCCACTTTTGTGAGCATCTTTAGTTGTGCTGGGCTATTTCAGGGTCCTGAACCAATTCAAAATGTTCACCTTTCCAGAGCAGATGAATAAGGTGGATGAAGACGCATCATATTTGCACGAGCCTGCCTTTCCTCTGCATGGCACTCAGCAGCCACATTCACTGTATTTCTTTTTATCACACCTTGTAAAGACATGAAAGAGGACATCTAGAACTGCTTTAGAAAGAAGCAAGAATAATGGGATGTTTGTTTGAGGGGGGCAGTATTTTGAGGGGAATTAATGGCATTGTGTCTTACTGTAACAATTTTAAAAATTTAAATATTCCGGGCTGGGGATTTAGCTCAGCGGTGCCACCGCCAGCCTGGCAAGCACAAGGACCCGTGTTCAATCCCCAGTACCCTCCCTCCCCCCCAAATTTAAATATTCCTTGTATATTTTGATCAGCCCTTGTATGGTAATTCTTGTTTTGTTTTGTTTTTGGTACCGGGTATTGAACTCGGGTCCTTGCGCTTGCAAGGCAGGCCACCGAACAGCTGAGCTAAATCCCCGGCCCCCTTGTATGGTAATTCTGTGCCTTTGAAATTAACTGGATTGTTTTCAAACATGCCAGATTATAAAAATGATTGAGTAAAACTATCATATATTGGTGATAACAAACATTTGCTAACAAACCGAGTTGCTGCTGTGACATTTAAAGTTTAATAAACAATATTTTTCCTTAGCAAAGAAAGAATCCATTTAATGGCTCCAAGTTACCAGAAGATCACTTATTGCAACAAACTAAAAGTGAGCAGTCAGAAAATGGAAGCAATGGTTTACTTCAGATTTCAAAAGAGGGTAAATATTATTTTTATGGACTAGGTATTTTTATCTTTGTTATCTGTGGACTAGGGAACCTTCCCAGAGATCCTTTCACATAAGTAACTTCCCAAGAAAGTGGAAAGTTATGATGGTTTCTCATTCTGCTATGCCTGTTGGTTTCCTGCCTTCCCCTGAGGGAGAGATGGCAGAAATTTTAGTCACTGGAAGTTCACATATTCTAATCCTGGAGGTGCCACTTGTGTGTGACCTCATCAGTGGAATGGGAAATTTTTTTAACCAAAAACACATAATCTAACTTTACATAAGAGAATTTTCCTATCAACAAGTTGCCTCAAAACAAAAAGTCCACTTCTAATCTGTAATTATCAGCTCAGAATTTTATTGTTCTTATGTAACATTAGAAGGAAATACTAGAAAGTTCAGTATCTCCCAAAACAATTGTTAGAAGAGATTCCACCTGCATTAAAGATTAGTCAAGGTGTAAAAAAAAAATTAACAATTGGATAGTGGAGCTAAGGGTTTCAAGTAGCTTGCTTTTGTATGTGTGTGTTTGTGTGTGGTGTGTGTGAACGTGTATGTGTATGGAGGTACTGTGGATTACCCAGGGTTTTCTCACTAAATTACATCCCTTGACCTTTTAAAATTTATTTTATTTTACTTAAATAGGGTCTTGTTGAGTTGCTATGTTGCCCAGGTCAGGCTCAAACTTTGACTCCTCCTATCTCTGCCTCCCAGAGTGCTGGGATTATAGGCATGCACGCCATGCCTGATCAAGTAACCAGTTTAAATGTCTTTTTCATTTGGCATACTTTATAGTACATGAAATATTTTGTAGGAAAAGAAATTGGAATGTGTTACCTGCTTTTTTTTTTTTAACTTTTTGCCGAAACATTTTTTTGTTTCAAGTTTTTAGATTTTGTTTTCTTTTCCTTTGTGTTACCTTTTTCTAATTTCAATACATGATTTTTTTTTTTTTATGAGACAGGGTCTCACTATGTAGTTGAGACTGACCTGGAACTCACTATGTAGCCCAGGCTGGTCTTGAACTCTCAGTGATCCTCCTGCCTCAGCCTCCCGAGTGCTGGGATTACAGGTGTGAACCACCACGCCTGGCCTAAAATACATGAATTTTTAAAGGGACTTCTGTGGGGTTTTTTTATACATCTTCTGACAAATTTTCTAATCTTTTTAAAAAACTTTTAATATTAATTATAAAATTCCGCAAAGTATATAAAGCATGGTAATCTTAAATGTGCAGTTTATCTGCTGTACAATAAAATTCATACATCAATTTCTAACAGACTTTGTTTTTTAGAGCATTGGTTCACAACCTTATTGAGCAGAAGATTCACATATTATGCGTATATACCTTAATCCCATACATTCATCATTTCCCTATTGTTAATTTAACATCTCCCAGCAATCTGGTGTGTTTGTTATAACTGACTACTTTGAGACACATTAGCACTCAAAGTTAAGAATTTACATCAGGGATCATTCTTAATGTTGTATACTCTAGATTTTGACAGATAACATGTATCCAGCAATATAGTGTCGTACACCATAATTTTATTGACCTAAATATCCTCTGTGCTTCAATGGATGAATTTTCATAGGCTTTGGGGACATCAGGTGTGTACTTCTGCTACCTGCTTGATTGCCTTCCATATGTTAATACTTTTTTTTTTTAACCAAATATAGGCTAAGTTTATAATTATTTTAAATTGTAGAGTTGCTTCCCATTTGATATATTACCTGACATGTTTTCATTTTCAGATGAATTATCAGAGTCAAAAGAAAGGTCATCTAACCAAGATACATCAAGCCAGAACTTAGAGAAATCAAAGCAGACTGTGCCAGCATATCCTGAAAATGGATCCCAAATCAAGGCTCCAATCCCTAAAGCCAGAAAACTGATTTACAAATCAAATGATGTAAAGCAAGATGATAGCCAGTCTTTTCCTAGACAAAGGATAGACTCCATGAATGCCAGAGGGGCTCCGAGAGGGATCCTCAAACGCAACTCCAGTTCCAGTAGTACAGACTCTGAAACTCTTCGTTTAAATCACAACTTTGAACCCAAAAGCAAAACTATGTCACCCGGCATTACCATCCATGAGAAGATTTCTGAGAAAGAGCATTCTTTAGAAGATGACCCTTCCCCAAGCTCATTGGAGCCAATGAAGCATGTGAGATTCTCTGCAGTAAAGGATGAACTTCCTCAGAGTTCTGGGCTAATCTGTGGCAGGGAAGTGGGAGAATTTAGTGTTTTAGAACCTGACAGGTTGAAAAATGGAACAGAAGATTCAGAGGACATAGATGAGCCTAAACCATCCCAGTACAAAAAGCCTCAGCCTTTTCATCAGTCAGCCTCAAGCCCAAGTTCATCAGAAAATGAAACATATCTCCCAGTGACTTCTGGTTCTTTTCCAAATGATGGGCTGCAGTCTCACACAGAAGTTCTAAATGCAGAACCACAGTCCACTGAGAATTCACCCACCATCAGTGAACACCAAGCTAAATCATCAAAATTAACAAGGCTTGAATCAGAATTGTGCCCAAACCCTGCTGGTAAGAGAATTGTCACTTCCAGATTAAAAAAGCTCTGTGGGCTTGGAATAGCCAGGTCAGCCAGCCCTGTAGAAGGTCAATTTTGCCTCTTAAGCATTCCATCTAGAATTCAAATGGGTTTAGAGGCTTTCCTTACCCACCAATATTACTGAAATAACCCATATTTGTGTTTAGTCTATTATGTTTAACCACAAAAAGTGTAACCATTTCTGTTAAACAAATGAGAATGTTTTGAGTTAAACAAGGGTGTATACCATAGAAGAATTTAAAAAATGCTAATACTTTTTCACTGAGTGAATATGTTATTGCTCACAGAATGTAAATTTTTTACCATTTTACCAAACATTGGTTTCTCTTCCAGTTGCAAGAGAGACTTCACTTTCTTAGCCTCAAAGAATGAGAAACCAGACTTTGAGTTCTTAATGTGAAGAAACCCTTGATTTTGGCCTGCCCATGGTCTGAAAATGTTTGTCCCTGACTGCAGAAATGCTGGCTAAGAGGCACTTAAGGTGCTGCTTTTCCTGCTAAGCTGTCCTCCCTTGAAGATCTCACCACTGTCAGGGGATGTCTCAACTACTTCCTCATATCTCTATGGTTATTTCCAATTCTTAAGTTTTTTTTTTTTTTTAAGAAAGAATGGGAAAAATACTGCTGTACATTCTTTCCTGACTTCATTAAGTCTGCATCCATTTTTTTAGTCAGGAACATTTATAATCACATCAATCAATTTTCTCTCTCAGTTGCCCAAATTTGAATAACTTTTGCTCAGCTTTACAGTTTCACACATTTCCAAGTCAGTCCACTTCTTCAAAGACAATGTTCCCTTTCTACTTGAAAATTTTAGAACATTTGAATGAAACAGAACTTTTTTAAAAAATTAAAAGTTAGGGCTGGGGATTTAGCTCAGTGGTTCCGCCACCTGCCTTGCAAGCTCAAGGACCAGAGTTTGATCCCTGGTACAAAAACAATTAAAAGTTAGCCAATACTTCTTTGAGAAATAAAAGAACTCTGCTGGGCATGTTTGCTTATTTCTATCATCCCACTTACTCAGAAGGCTGAGGCAGGAACATCAAAAGTTTGAGACCTGCTTGGTCATCTTAGTGAGACTTTCAAACTAAAAATTGAAAAAGGCTGTGGGTATAGCCCAATAGTAAAGCACCCCTGGATTCCACCCTAGTACCATACACACACAAAAAAGGCAACTCATACTAAAGGAAATTGCTGACATTTGACTAAACATTAGAAAGTAATGGCATGATAGTTACTAAATATTCATTGAAAGGATAAAAAAATTTCAAAAGTAATATTTCTCTATTGTAGTTGATTATAAAGAATTGTTTATTTCCCTGTTTTTGAACTCACACTTTCTCATAGACTATAATTTGTATTTACTTATGCATTCTGATTTTAAAATCCAAACTGACCATTAAATCTGGAACAAAGCATCATCAGCTAAACCTATTTTGATTGCCTGACACTATTCTAACCACAAGGATTATTTATAAACAAAAAGAGCCCCTGCTTTCTCCCTTTTGATTTAGGACAAAAATGTAAGCACTATGACATGAAACAAAACTAGGAGAAAAATGCTGAACTCTTACGTCTGTGAACCATAAAGATTTGGCTTTAGCTCTGAACATCAATATCATGCTAGTTTTCACACTGGGAAAAAGAATTCCTCAGAGGAAACAAAACATTACTGGAAACTGAATTTTAAAAAATAATTGTTCCTATTTTTAAAGCAATAGCTTTTTATTATAAAATATTTAAGAATGCACATAGATTTTTTAAAAAGCTCATCTGTGATATCATCCAACATTATCTATTGAAAACATTTTATTGTAGTCTTCCAAAAGTTTTTAGTCATGACTATAATTTATAAATTGTTATTATACTGCCAAGACTTTTTCCACTAGCAATATATCACAAACATTTAAAAATTATTATTAAATAATCTGTAAACAATTCTTGAAGGTTTATCAACGGAACCTCACAATTATTGACATATTTAATAATAGAATTTATACTTAAGGAAGGAAACCAATATCTACCATGTGTCAATTATTGTGCAAACTCTTTGTAATTTACACATTTATCCAGGGCTGATGGTTGAAATTAAAGATAGAATTTTATTAACTAACATGTTTTTAAGTGCAGTTTTTTTTGTTTTGTATGTTTTTTGAGACAGGATCTCCCTATGTAGTTCAGGCTGGCCTTGAACTCACAGCAATCCTCCTGCCTCAGGCTGTTGAGTACTGGGATTATAAAGTATGTGCCACTACACCCAGTTTCACACAGATCTTAAGAACATCCCTGTTCAGGAATGCTGAAAATTTTGAATTTTAACTAAATGCCTATAAATTTTAGAAAATGTCTAAGTTCTCTCATGAAAATGTACTATGTGCCTTCTGATGAAGGCTCAGGGAGCAGTCTGCTTTCTTGATAGCTTAGAAAAAAATGTAAATATCCTTCTCTAGCCTCTTAGACTTTAGTTAGCTGATGTAATGGGGCAGGTAGAGATCATTCTTTGTCAGTCCTCTGTTTATTTGGCTCCTAGATATAAATTCTGACTTACAAATGATAGAAAGGAAAAAGGGCATAATGGAGGAGCCTATTGAGATCAGGGTTCTTAAACTCCAGTTTGCAAAACAATCACTAGAATAGCAGCCTTATCTTCAGAGATTCTGGTTCAGAATATCAGGACTAAAGCAATGTGTGTGTTCTCATTCAGATATTCTGCAGGGAATTCCTTGTTCAATCTTACTTGATAGTTGGTTTTCTAATTTCTAAAATCACTTGAATCTGTGCTCCTCAAATTGGATATAAGCCCCTTCTCATGTTTATGACAGTGTGCCAGAGGATTTGTGAAGTCATTAAACCAACATGGTATACCTTCCTGGAGTGTCAGTCCTATACCAAGATTTGAGAGTAAGATCAAATTAATATTTAAAATGTAACATGGAGCAGAATATAAAACTCACATGAATTTTTAAAATAAACCTAGGACTTCAAAGAAATTTTTCCAGTTAAGCTGATATACTATAATCCACATTTGTCTTCCTTTATTGTCATAGGGCACCTTACTTAGAATGACCAACCCCTGAAAAATGTAGAAAGTACAAATAAAAAAAAATAACTTTTTTCAAAAGAGAATATGAGTGATCTGATAATAATTTTTAAGCATTCTCTTGTTTAGAAAAGCGTTTTTGTGTTACAGATGAACTGTCTCATTGTGTTGAGCCTGAGCCATCTCAGGTGCCAGACTGCAGTTCTAGAGTCCATCAGCAAGGTAAGCCCCCTCTTCTTATGACTCCAAAAGCTAAGACATCCTCAGGCTGTGGTCCATGTGTCACTGAGATAAAGAAGACAACTGATGATTCCATATCTAAAGTCCTAGACTGGTTTAACCAAAGTGCTTATTCAGATGACAATAAGTCATCCCTCCAACTTCCCCAAGGGAAAGAGCCCAAAGAAAAAATAGACTCCAAGTCACAAGTTCCTATTGCCTCTGTAACAGATGACACAAGTCTAAGAGAAAATGGCTCCAAAGCCCTGTCACCTACCAAAGTTAAAATGAAGCCTGTAACATCTGATTTGACATTTCAAGTAGAAAGAGAGAAGCTGCTTTTTGAAGAGTGCCAAGATAATGATGCAAATATTAAATCCAAATATATGAATTTGTCCCAAGAAGACTCCTCAGAAGGTCTGGGTGTACTGCAAGCACTTGAAAGCAATCGTGCTTTAAGTCAAGGGAATAAAAATATGGACTCTAGCCAAGATTCAAAAAGCATAGGAAAAGGAAATGGGGTACTTCACTCAATCAGTAACTACTCCTACAATCTTCTCAAAGGATCTTATGCAGAAGTACACATTCCATATAACACTAAGAATATTGGCAGCTTTGGTAAAGAAGATCACAAGCTTCATGAAAATGAAAAAAATAAAGGAAACTCAGAAGTCAATTTTGACTCTTCAACAGTTGTCCAAGAGTCAAATTTGAAAGACAACATGAAAGTAGAGAGAAAGAGCAAAGAGGACAAAACTTCCATGCTGGAAAGTTCTTTAGAGACAGAGAATAGTGAGTTGCTACCTAGGACTGCCAACAATGAATCTCCTTGGAAGAAGCCTGAGGTCCAACTCCAGCAGGAAGCTGGTGAGGTTCCCAAGAGCCAAGTGCAAAGAGAGAAATACAAAAGAGTGAGGGAAAGAATATCCTTTTGGGAAGGAGAGAGAGCAGCTGCTGCTAAGTTAACTCATAAAGAACCCACATCTTCAGGTAGCCAGGAACAACCTGCTAATGCATTGCAGCCTGAGATGTCATGGGGTGCATCCTTGGACAGTTTATGTACAGGCCAGAGTGAATTTACTCAAGTCACTGCCAAACTAGTGGTCCTTGATGAAAATGATCAAGTTTCCCATCTCTCTGGTTTTTACTCCTCAAATAAACCTAAAGAGACCAAACCCCAAATATCAGGTTCATCCAAAAACTATCCTTTAACCGACCAATCAGATAAAGTGTCTCTGTTTCATAATGAGATAAATGAAGATATAAAACAATTGCCAGTGGAAGACAGTTTGCATTCTAGAAGAGACATTCCTTTACCAGTACTGCAACAACCATCAAATACTGAGTGTGAAATGTGTACTTCTCGGGATAAACATAGATTTCTAATTGGTGAATCAAGTGCCAACTTTAAAGTTATGTCCTTAAAAGAAAGAATGGATGAACCCAATACAGAACAGGTCTATCATTACTCTCAGTTTGAAAATTTGAAAAAGTTTTGGGACCAAGGAACTAATTCAAACAGTAAGGATAATAATTATGAGATGGATACTACAAGCCAAAAAAATCCTGTGGCTTTTAATAACCAAAAACACAAGACATTAAGTGACACTAAATCATCAGGAAAAAATACCCATGAAACAGAGGCACTTTTAAGCCAAAGCAACATTATGGTGGGAGAAGAAGTGGATAAATTAAACTCAAAGAGCATATTGCAGGTGCTACCAGATGATACCACATTTCCTTTAAGATCATCCAGAAAGTCCACTCATCAATTGGCAGGAAATGACTCATCAGAGGAAAATGGGGAGAAGAATATGGAATGGTTTCTTACTCCAGTGCTTAAAGAAGAAAGAGATTGCTCAGAGCAAGAGATTCAAGAATCCATAGTGAAAACAAGTATTGAGTCTAAAGACTACAAAGATGTTTTTAATGACAGCTTACAGAAGCTGCTTTCAGAAGCTTCATTGGTAATTCAACCTTCTAGTGGAAAAGTTTGTGGAAAGCAACTACTTGAACCAGGTGTTTCTGAAGATGGGAAATGGGTTCAAAAGACAGATTTTTCTGATAATAAACAAGAAGCCAAAGGACCTACAGAGATCCCTAATGAGCATGTACACAAAACAATCGTACCAAGTCTAGACAAACTCCTTAAAGAAACAACTGGAACCTCACACTCTTCCTTGCAAACTAAAATGGAACCTATTACCACTGCAACCAACTCGCAGCCTAAACAGGATAGATTTTTTGAAAAGGAGATAAAAGAAAATCAAAATACTTCATTCTATCAAAGAGAAATAATACCTCCTTTTCCAGAGGGGTATAAAACTTCAGGAAATGTAACTCTCACCCAGAAAGCTGAAAGTATTGAGTGCCAGTTCAACAAAGAGAACTTGTTTCAGATGACTGCAGAAGGCTCTCCTGCACTGGCCCAGCCTTCACATCTTCACGGAAAAGATTCCTTTCAGGATGTGGCCAACTTTCCACAAGATATGACTTATTCCAGGGATGCTCATCTTGCTTATCAAGATAAGGCATTGTCTCCTCTAAGGGAAATTTCAGAGACCATAGAGAGAGTCATTCTTGCACCCAAACCTGCACTGAATGATGTAAATGATACATTACAGCGGCTCCTTAGAGAAATTTCCTCAAGTTATCCATTTGGGAGGGAAGTAGGTCCTGGAGAAATGAAAGCAGATTTTTCTGAAGAAGTGCAAACAGAAAGTAACCCTCCAAATCCTCTGGAAGCGATTCCGCCGGGAACTGCAGTGAATACCATTGTTCCAGACAGGAAGGAATTTCATACATTCACTGTATTTCCTGATGAAGTCGGATCACATTTAGCTCTCCAAATGGCTCCATCAGAACAGCTCACTAACTCATCTGTTTCCACTGTGGCTCAGTGTGGCAAAGAGCAACCTCAGGAAGTAGTAGAAATTGTGAGGGAAACAATTATTCAGCCAAAATCAGAGTTCCTCAAATTCAGTACTAACTTAGAAAAAATACTCGAGGAAACACTACAAACCTATCCCTCAAAATATGAAAAGGGTACAGGAACCCTTTCTCTATCAGAGTTTATAGGGAGTACTGAGGAACCCAGGCAAGCTGCTTCTGAATTCCATCCTGAGGAAATAGAAGAAATGATAGAAAAGGCTGAGGCTCTGCCAATAACTGAGAGTGCTTTTGATACTGGATTTAAGAAACTTCTTAAAGAAATATCTGAGGATCCTCTTTATCAGTTCCAGGTGTCAGTGAAGGACTACACTCCTGAGAAGGAGCCCTCAGGGTCAGAGCAGGCCGGATTCCTGGACACAGTGCCCCATTTTTACTGGGCAACCTCAGGGGCCTTGGAAATAAAAGATAAAAGTAGTTTGGAATCTCAGGTCCACCAGTGTGATAAAGTGTTGGGAGGAGATGAAGGTGTGACTGATTTATTAGTAGATCTTTGTGGTTCCACAAGTAGTAGGGTTGAGATCGCTGGAACCCCACAACTTTATGTGGACCATGAAACAGAAACCATTAAATCTATACGAACTTCAGAGGACAGGGACAGGGAAAGAGACCTCACAGAGGGACAAGGGAATTTTCAGGAACCTGGCTTTGAAGAGGCTCCTAAAGCAATTAATCTGTCCAGAAATAAGCAACCCATTCCTCTCCTGACAAACAAAAAAACCTCTACAAAAATAAGTAAAGTTGAATTGATGCTAGCATCATCATATAAGAGACAAGACAAAGAACAAGAAAAAGGTTTCTCTGATTCTGATTTTTCAGATGGAAACACCAGTTCGAATGCAGAAAGTTGGAGAAATACCTCCAGTGAGCATTTTGTAATTTTTAACACATAATGAGTCGGCTTTATGGAATGCTGATGCAAGGATGATTTTTTTTCTAACTGGGATTAATTTAATACTCCCAAATGGTGCTAAATTCTTTTTGTCACTTTGGTTCTCCCAAACTTTTTATAATGATAATAATTTTAAAATAATAAAATAACAATTAATATTAATAATAAAATATTCATAATAAATAAATTTCATAACAAAAATTCACATATTCTGTATTCATCCAATTCACATAGAAACAGCTTAGGGCTGGGGATTTAGCTCACTGGCGCTGTTGCCTGCCTGGCAAGCACAAGGTCCCAAGTTCGATGGTACCAAAAAAACAAAAAGAAGTACAGCACTTAGAAACAGCTTTCTTCAGGACTGTGTTCTAGAGTCTAACCTTGTTTCTCATAATCTATAGCAACTTCGACTTAAAAAGTATTTTTTTTGAGGTTTCTAAAGCACCTTTGAAAAATTTAAGTCAGTTTTCTTTCTGAAAATAATTAGAATTTCTTAATTGACAATCCAAATAGAAGTCTCTAGTAAGAAATGTGGCGAGAATGCCACAAATGGAAACAAATTTCTCATTTAAGAGCAAAGTTTTACTAAAACTAGTAAATATCAGTGACAAATGTAGGGGTGGAACTTTCCTTCCCTCCAATACTTCATGCTGTGGTATTTTTGTTGTCCCTCTCATTTTCAATTATCTGCAGGACCTCCTCCTTCTAGACTATGACTTTGGTCAGATGACATCATCTGATTCCACCTAAATGCATTGCCTAGCTCTTGCATTTCTTTGGCTTCAGCCTTGGCTACATTGTATAAAGATTTTACTTGATTGCCGTGTTCATCTAAGTGGGCATGGCAGTGCTGGGTTCAGCCAAGCTATAAAAGTATAAGGCTTATCTCAGTTTGTGATTCTGGTCAACTCTTGGTATTTTAACAGAGAACCTCGCAGAGCACCTTGGCATGAGAAGCTACCTGATAGAAGAGATGAAATAACAGAGGATGCTCGCTGGGTGGGGCATTTTAGCCAAAGTTGCACAATCAGAGTTGTACAACTAATAGACCCCCATCTCCATGAAACTAGATAAGCTTGACTGAGTGAATGCCTCATGAAGTTTGAGTTCCTTCACATGTAGCTCAAGCACTGAGCACTTTGGGGGGCGGTACTGGGGATCAAACTTGGGCCCTTGCACGTGTAAGGCAGGCAGCAGAACCACTGAGACAAATTTCTGGCCATACCTTTAATTTTAATTAGTCAAGTTGAAGTTATTCTCACGAAGGTTGCTGGTTAAAAAAAAAAAAAAAAGTGAAAAACATCTCTGAAACTGAACATATACACGAATAAAGTCAGCCCATTAACCTTGTTGAGGTATCTCCTCACTAAATTTCCCCGTGTATCATTATGGTAAACTGATCCATAGGAGGCTTGAAATTTGCACTTTCTTTACACAGTGTCACACTTGTATCTAGGCATGTTTATAGTGCACCAGCATCACTCATTGAACAAGAAAGGCCTATTTTTTAAAAATTGTATTAATCAGAGTGCTGAGAGAATATATTTTAAAATTATAAGTAAGATGTATAAAATGTTGCAGTCATGATTTATACTCCCTATCCTAAATTATCAGTTTTTAATAAACTGGCAAGGGTAGTGTAAGAACTGCCAAGGAACCACAAATTGTGATGAGCAACTTTACATATATGATTTGTGTTTGTGTTTCATTTTCCTTTACAAGGAGTAAGTTTCCATGGCAAAACACTTTTGGAAAAGCTGGACGTTATGTACATTACTGTATTAGCATGATAAAATCTCTGAGGTCAGCAATAATTTACCTCTTAAATTAGAACAAAGGACACCTTAAATCTAACTCATCTTAGAATCAATTTGGTGTGGAATGCATACTAATGTTAGGCAAATCTAGAATACATTTCAGGAAATTATTGTTGAGAGATGTAGTTTTTACATTCATTCATTCATTCATTGACTCATTCATTGACTCAGCAAATACTTTTGAAGTGTCTGTTGTCAATCACTATTCTAGGCACCAAGAATAAACAGGGATAAATGTCAATATTCAGAACAAGGCCTATCCATGATGAAGTTTTCACTGTCAGAATGAAGAGCTTAAGGACAATTTAGACAATTTTTCTGTAAAATTAATTTAAGGGTTATTCTTACTCAGAAATTACCTCTTTTTATTTCTCTCAGTTCTAAAATGTCTTTTTATAAAATAAAGGTACTAGTAAATTATAGGGTTTCCCTGCCATCTTAGTTAAGTAAAATGTGACTATTTACCAAAAATATTTTTTGGAAATTTTATTAAATCATGAAATCCAGAATACATCTATTGATCTGGAAAACCCACCCATCTGTGATCCATTTATACACAGATGTTAAACATCTGAATCCTGCCTTTCATGGTCTTCAACTAATTTTTAAAATGTTTTTAAAATCACTTTGTGGCTGCAGATTGTTAAGGGGGAAGATTCAAAGTCTGGCGCAAAATAAATCATGAACCTAAAATAGAGATGTAAACCACTAGGGGATCATGCTTTTATTAATGTGGTAATCTTGTTTCTATAATAGTTTATGTTTGCAAATATTTCTTGACCAGAAAAATTATTTTTTAAAAGGGCATGTTAAAGATCTGGGGATGTAGCTCAGTAGTAGAACATTCACCTAGCACATGCAAGGCCTCGAACTCTATCACAAACATCAAAAAAAAAAACAACAGAAAACATTAAAAGGACATGTTAATAGTGGAGAAATTTACTTTCTTCTGTACAGTACTTCTTAAATAAAAGTAGGAAGGCTGTAGCATAGTTTCTCTTTTCAACCTACCATTTTAGTGTTCATTGGTTATTAAAAGGTTGTTTTTTCCTTTGGACTGTGCAGTGTTCATCGGTTTTGTCTTATAACAGGTTCAGAAGAAGAACCCAGTTCTGTTTTGAAAACTTTGGAAAGGAGTGCTGCTAGAAAAATGCCTTCCAAAAGTTTAGAAGACATTTCATCAGCTTCATCAAGTGAGAATAAAGTTCGCCCCACTGTTCACACCTCACCAAAGCTTAAAAATGCTTGTGTGCTCTTCTCTGGCCTCACTGCATGTGGTCATGCACTGAAACCCATAACATGGGGGCTAACAGATGACAATAACCTTTCCCAAGTGTGCTGAAGAGGCTCACCCTGAAACATTCTGGAATTTTGCTTTTAAGTTAATCCATGAAGTTTGGTTACTAGAATACTAGGTTTCCCTGAAACAAAGCTTTGATGTTTGAGTGTTTACTCCAGTATAGTGAGTTTTAAAGGGCAATGGTAGCTAGTAGTACTAGTAGAGCTAATAATAGTAATAGGTAACACTTACTGAATACTATATGCCAAAACTTGTCTAAGAATTTTACATGTTTTGTTGCATTTAACCAACACACACAAAAAAAAAACCATGTGAAATAAGAATTATTGTTGTCCTAATTTTGTAGAAAGAAAATGTAGCTCAGAGGGGTAAAATAGCTTACTTATAGCACACAAGCAGACCTGAGGCTCAAACTGACAGACTACCATCAGCAGCATTTATGAATGGACCATATTACAAGGGTTGGGTGTCTAATGGATTTTTATGATATGGAGTTGAATTAACTTCTGGCTTTAGGGATTTTCCCTTCCTCTCTTATTCCTTGTTTTCTACTCACATATTTTCTTTGCATATTAGGAATATAAACCCATAGATTATCTAACACATAATCCTTTAGGTCCCTTGTTCTCCACTGGGTGCTGCTTTAAATGGTGAGGGGTTTCTTGACTACTAACAGGAAGTACAATGTATACAGGGACTTGTGTGGCAGACAAATGGATTTAGAAACCACAACTTCCAGAGGTTTTGTTCTTACTATTTTGAAGCTAAAATATACCTCTGGGATTTTTTTTGCCTTGAGAAGAACTGAGTAAAAACTAACCAGTGCCAACTCATGATCAATAAGTGACCATTTCAGATTTAAAATAGTTTTTAGGCATCTGCAATTGAGATTGAAAAGTTAGGGTTGAAAAACAAAAAGTAAAAGCCACTTCACCGCCTAACAGTTCCTGAAACCAATGGGTTACCAGGGGTCTGAAGACAAAATTCCCAGTTTTGAATGCAGTCCTCGCCCTCCCAAGGATCTTGAAATCTTAGAGTTGGAAGGGACCTTGAAGGTCACCCATTTCACCCTTCCCCCAATATAGGATTTCCCTCTAAAGCCTCCTCAACAAGTGGTCTACCCCCACATCTGTCTGAATGCTTCCCAGAGAGGGCAAGTGTGGTTCTTTGTTGGACAGCCCTGATTGTTCTTCCTTATGTTGGTGATGGGCCCTGAGGGGGGAAAAAAAGCCGCAGCAACAATTGTTCAATTTAGCAAACCTCTTGCCTGTGAAGCACAGAGCTATTTCCATGGTGCAGCTTTAAAATATTCAGGAATGTGTAGAGTTAAAAAAAAAATCACTATCAGCTGACGGGTATTCCTGCACACTCCCTTCCAAATACCGATACCCACTCTCACACTAGCCTGCCAAAATTCCACTTAGCAGCTGGTCCCCAGTTACATCTCTTCAGTTGACTTCCCAAGCAAGCCTCCCAGAGGCATACGCAATCGATGAGGCACTCACACAAATATCTGTTAATGACCATAGGTTTGGGAAGGTGCTAGTCATGGCCAGCATCGTACCCTTTCCAGAAGAATAGAAAGGCTGTTTGCAGCCTTGTGCTTTTTTCCTGCTTCCAGCCGATCGCATGCTCTCAGCTAACCCTCTAACCCTTGGGAGTCAGTGCGCAGCAGTGTGCTGATGTGAGCTGCATCGGGGCTGAAATGGGAGCTCCCGCTATGGCACTCGCTCAAGTAGCTCATCTAAAGAGAAAGTATTTTTGGGAAGACATCTTGGTTGCACCCCTTACTGCATCTTGACTAATTGCTTCCAACTCCGGGAGCTTCCAGAGACAATCTCATTGTTCTTTTCTCTCCATGGGTCAGCCGTGTTAACCATTTGTTAATTTCTCCTAAACAGATCAAGCAAAAGTAGATAATCTGCCAGAAGAATTAGTACGTAGTGCTGAAGATGGTAAATATCTTTATGTATTTGCATGTCTGTTTGTGTATTAAGTTCTGGCTGGGGTGATTTGAGCAGTCACTGGGATGGATGCAGCTGTTGGATAAATAGAAGAACGTCATTTGCCACTATGTGGCCAGTAGTGCCTAAGTTATTATAAAAACTGTTCTGACTTAGTGTGTTAAATACTGTGTGTATATTTAAGGCTTCTGGTGATACCATTGTGAGGATCTTATTAGAGACCCTGGGAAGCAAGGATTTCTATAAATAGGAAATTGTGTTTCTATGGATATGAACTGATTTTTACTGCTCTGACTTGCAGAACTCTTTTTGAAGGAAAAAAGAGTAGAGGGGGTTCTTGCGGTGTTATTTCTGTGTTTTATTCTCAAGTCTCAGCGTTTAGATCACCAGGCACAACCAGTAATGCTGTAAAAAGGGAAAGGTCCTAGGATAAGAGTAGAGGAATCTTGCCTCTGCTGATACAAATAACTCAGGCTGAGAGTAAAATTAATTGATTCTAAATATAAGAAGCCAAAAGATCTTGAAGCTTGTCAATAGATCATGTATTACTTGGTTCATTTCTTAAAGGAATAGGGCAATAGTGCCTTCATGGGGTGAGGGATGGAAGAATGTCCAATTTTTAGAGTTCAGAATTTATGAAAGTGAGTAATTTATATTTGTAGGCTGTTTTTTATTTTTCGAAATTGCTTTCACTGGAGTCATAACAATGTTATCGAGTTTTCCTATATGAAGTGTAGTGACAGAACCCTTTAAAAATCTTTACTTTTATGTAATATTTTGCCTTCCTTATTTTACAACAACCTCACTGAAATAGAGGGGCAAGATTTTAGTCATTTTGCCAAAAAGAAAAGCTCAGAGAAATTTGATGATTTTCCTAAGATGTTGTGGCTAGTCAGTTAGTGGAGGGCATGGAAAAGAATCTCAGCTTTGTTGTTCCTTCCCATTTCAATGCTGTGGCTTAGTTTATGAAAGGACAGAGGCTGCACATCTATGCTAGATCTTAGTTTTTAGTTGAAGAGCAGACCCTAAGAAGGCTGATGAAAGTCACACTGGGATATGGACGAAAGCAAGCTGAAAATCTGTTGATATATACCACATTTTCTGTTGTGAAACTGACGTTTGAGCTTTATTTTCATGATTGTTTAATCTCTCTGTTAAAATTGTATTTATTCTTAATGTTACTCTTCTGGGTAGATCAAAAAGCAGATCCCCAACCAGATACAAATGAATGCATACCAAGAAGTGAGTAGCAGGATTTTTCTCAAAATGACTGAATATTCTATTTGCATAGAATTAAATGTACTGAAAGAACTAACCCATTAATAATGTAGCACTTATCACTGAACTTTTGCAGCTTGCAAAACTATTTCATTCTGATTAGGGTTTATTAAAAAATTTTACTACGGTCTATATTAAAAATTCATGGTTATGCTAAGGGAGAGCTAAATATTTAAAATATATGTTATATTTATATTGTTGTTACTGAATATCATTGACATGTCAGTCTCTGCTCTTTACGTCTGCTGAAAATCAAGTTGACATCGTCTGATTTCCTTTGGCTTTTATGTTGCAGTATGGCCTGGGGTATTGAATCTCTACGGCTTCTGTATAACCTTGTATCCATGAAGCGATTTACAGTATTCAATTTAATTGGACCCAAGAAAGAACTATATTTTGGCAGTTTAAATGTAATATAGCTGTATTTGCCTCTCTACAAATCTATGAAAGCAAATTTTGTGCTCAACTTTTATATTCTGAGGTTCAAAGCTAGAGTTCAGCAGCAAATATTCAACATAAAAGGAATGCGAACATCTGAATCTTAGAAATGAATGTGTATCTGTGGTGGCAAATGTCCATCAACTAATTAATATCTACCATCATGCAAAGAGAATGGTTGTTGCCTCTTTTTCATTCAATCTGAAGATTACTTAGCTGTCACTGCTGTTTTAAAGACAAATGATGTTCTTAAATGTTTGTGGGGCCTAGTAAAACCTGCAGATATGTGTGTGATTTCTCAGCTCCCCGCTTTCAGTCGGCTTCATAAATCTAGACATTGGAAAAATAAAGACAGTAATATATGTGCCTTGCCTGCACTCAGTTCCACAGTATTTTTTGTTTGTTTGTTTGTTTTTGTTTTTTGAGGCAGGGTCTCACTATGTAGTTGAGACTGACCTGGAACTCACTATGTAGCTCAGGCTGGTCTTGAACTCACAGTGATCCTCCTGCCTCAGCCTCCCGAGTGCTGGGATTGCAGGTGTGCATCACCATGACTGGCTAGTTCCACAGTATTTTTCATAATAGTTCCCCAACAGCCTTTGGATATGCTAATAGGCCTTAAAGGGGTAAGCAGCTAAATGAAAGAGTCATTAGATAAACAATGTGCTGAGGCAAGAAGTCAGTGCTATCTAATATGAAATCTGAGACTTTGCTCATGAATTCTTCCTGCTATCGGGTGAAGGTGCTGAGCTTTGGCACATGACTTGACAGATTCTTAAGAGCTGCGTAGGAAAGAAGACAATTCAGGCCTGGCCCTTGTGAGTATGTGCTGTCTGGCTACTGCAGACAATATAAGACTTCTGCTTCTAAGAAGTGTTAGATAACAGACTTTTCCAGTTGCTTTTGAACTGGGATATGATCAAGTTTGGGCATCTAACTTTATCTTGCCATGTTTTATTCAACATTTGGCCTGAGGTGTGAAAGAAAATATTACATAACCATGTGGCTATGTCACTATCTTTATTCATGGCCTCCAAATTGGCCTAGACAGTTATTGATCAAGACAAGTAGACCAATTGCGGGCTGAACTCTGAGGAAATTAATTTCTCACTTTTTAGCATTTTCTAAAATGATTCTTAGTGCCTTTTTACCAGTAAATATATTCTTACCATAACACAAAATAAAAAAAACATGATCAAAATATAAATAATTTAAGCTCATAAATATAAAAATGACTACATTATAACTGAATTTGACTTGCAAACCATCATGCAACAATATACTTGGAAAATAATAATAGGATGTAACAAAAAAGTTTTTATTCTCACTGGGCCATATTATGTCATAATCTTAATTATCAATTAATTAACTACCAATAATTCACTCTAGTATAGTTCACACGCATATTGTTATTTACTGGAAAGTGATGAATTAAAATAGGTATGCTAATGAGATACTATGACTGGATTTTGGAGTATATTTAAGGCTACTGTGCCTGTGATCTACTGTGCCTGTGATCTACTGTGCCTTTAACCTTTTTATAAAACATGTCTGCCCCTATATAAAAGAAAAGTGTGTTTTTAATTTCTGCCCAATGCCTGAAATTTGTATTTAGTGTGTGTAGCTCAAATTTCAGTTTTTCTTTCATTAGATTTCTTTCAATTAAAGTGAATTTAGCTAATGTTGAGGGTCATATATGAGTCTTTTGTGTTATACATAGAAATATAACTTGATTTTTAATCTATTCTCAATCTTTTTAATGATAAAGCCAAGGTAACATGTATATTGTGTTCACAGTATAATTTAAAGATTTTCTATGCAATAATATTTATTTTAAAAGTACTCATACACACCATGCCTGCCTTGCAAGTGCAAGGTCCTGAGTTTGATCCCTGGAACCAAAAACAAAAAATGAAAATACTCATACAGAGCCTACTACATGTCATGTACTTTTCTAAGTGTCTTAAGAAATTCTAACTCTTTTATTATAAGAGCTATGATTCAACATAAGAAAAGTTTAGATATTTTGATTATTAGGCAAGGAAAAACATAGTTTTCTAACTATAGATATGCAAATGAAAATTATAATTCATCTTGTGTTTTCTACTTACTACATAAGAAAGAAGATAACTGTATATGCTATATTTTCATATTCTTAGATTATTCTATCTTGAGATACTTATAAGTTGGCCTTGCAATATTGAAAACTCTCTTTTAAAAAGGTGCCTAAGTGGGGCTGGGGATTTAGCTCAGTGGTTTTGCTGCCTGCCTCACAAGCGCAAGGACCCAGGTTCAATCCTCGGTACCAAAATAAATAAATAAATAAAAACACCTAAATGATTTATAATTTTAAAAAATAATTAATTTTTAAATTATATTCTTTAATAATTTAAGAGAGAAACACTATCAGAAAAGGAATTCTCACGATCACTAAATGAATAAACCTGCTCTTAGGCACTAAGTAGTCAAAGATAACTTGTATTGAATTGTGTACAAAGATCCTTAATATCCAGATGAAATAGTTTTTCAGCCTGTAGCATCATGTTAATACATCTCAAGGAGATGAACCAATAAATTATAGAATTTGGTGTTCAAAACTCTAATGTGAAAAACATTAAAACCAGTTCCCATCGACAGCCTATATTCATATGATTCAAGTACAGCTCCAATTCAATAAGAACTAATATTTTTTAAATTAATTTTTAGGGTCAGGGATTTAGCTCAGTGATTCCGGTGCCGTCCTCACAAGCACAAGGACCTGAGTTCAATCCCTGGTACAAAAAAAAAAAAAAAAAGATAAAATTGATTTTAATTTGGTTCAACTCCTCGCTAGTTCTCTTTCTATATAATTTATAAAAACTGCATGTTGCTTGCCTCATGATCCTGTGCATGTGAACTTCTTTGCCTTTAACGTTTTTATAAAAGATGAAAAGTGTATAAGAGATGAAAAGGTGTGTTTTCAATTTATGCCTAATGCCTAAAAATTGTAAGAATAATTTTGAAATTGAAATGCTGCTGTTTAGTTTCTACAGTGCCTTCACAACCTGATAATCAGTTTTCACACCCTGACAACCTCAAAAGGATGAGCAAATCTGTTCCAGCATTTCTACAAGATGAGGCAAGTTTGTCTTTTTGTGCTTTCAGAAAAATGGATCCAGCGGGCATGGTGGTGCCTGTAATCCCAGTACTTGGGAGGCTGAGGCAGGAGGATCACTGTGAGTTCAAGGCTAGCCCAGAGTACATAGCAAGACCCTGTTTCAAAAAAGAAAGGGGCGGTGGGGGGATAGGAAAAGAAAAGAAAAATGGAGGGAGAAGGGTAGATTTGCTATGCTGAAATCGGTGTGTTTGTATTTTACTGTAGCACAGACAAAAGCAGGATTGACCCTTGCCTGCCAAGTCGAGGAAGCAGGGTCTCATTTGACTCAAACAGTAACTCTTTTTGCTCAGTGAAGTCAGATCACATAAATTTGAGAATGTGATTTTTGTTTCAAAGTCAGTACAAAGTGAGAAATCCAAGCAGAATATGTTGGCAGGAATTAACCATGCCTCTTTGCCTTGAGTTGGTTTGTGTAAATTTAATCTAGATAGCAAGCTTTAAGGAGCATTCACTGGGTATGAGGAACTTTATTATTTCATTTAATTGTACATCAACTATGGAAGGTAGATACCATCCCTGTCCCCAGATGTTATAGTTGAGGAAGCTGAGACCATGAGAGATAAAATGACTTCACTCAGCTGGAAAGAGGATGAAACAGGACTAAAGCCCAGATCTGATTCCCAGGCTGGTAACCTCTGTTGTATACGGCTGTCAACTAAGAACATGACTGTACTCACTGAGTACCTACTCTGTACCAAGCCCTAATAGCCTGCTCTAACTCTACATGGTAGATACTATTTTCTTCACCTAAAAAAAGAGGAAATACCCTCAGAAAAGTTATTTTCTCAACATCCAATAGCTAAAAAGTAGATCTAGGACTTTAAGTCGAGTGTTTGGACTTAAGATCCTGTGTTCTTGCAGTCAGTTGTTAGGAGCCTGAGGTCTAGAGTTATATATTCTCAGTCCTGGATATGACACTTAGTTGCTCTGCAATCATGGATAGAGTCTTTAGTTTCCCTGAGTCTGGTCTCCTAGAACCTACTGAGGTTGTAAGGAATCAGTGGGATAATGCATAGCGTAAGTGCCTGGAGCACAGTAGCCACTAAAGATGTTAACTGCTGCTATTGTTTTTGCTTTTGATCTGATTCTTGAAAGTGAAAGAGAAACATTCTCAAGCGTCTTTTAGTAGATAGAATATGAGGAAAAATCTGAGTAAATATAAATCACAGATACCTCCATCCCAGTCACCTTCTGTGCATAGTTGGACCTTTGATGAGCTGTATCTGCAAATATTCAGACTTTGAATATATTTAAGAGCTCATATTACAGTTTCATTTGGAGTGAATTGCTCAATTTTGGAACTAACACATTAGCTGAAGACAACAGTAGCCATCCTGTGGAGTTTCTGTGGTCTTATACCTTTGTAGATCTGCTTTGGTTTTGGGTGGTCATAGTCATGAACTGTGTAATAATTTAAGTGTTAAATTATATCAATTTTTAGTTTATTACATTTTTCTTCTCCACTGAATTTTAATCTGCACAGAAAAAAAAGTTCAGATTACTTGCATTTGTGTACCAGAGATGCCAGAATTGAAGTGTATCGTTTACTTTTCAAAGTGCATTATGTTGAACTGGATGGTAAAGGATATGGGGATGAAATCAGTCAGGCCTTGCTCCTTTGTCCATTGTCCATTTGAAACCTAGCATTAGTTACATTTGTTGAGTGCCACATACATGAAAACCTGTTCAACAAGACAGTCATATCTTTATAAAAATTCACTAATGATCTGATATGCTATGTAAATATAGTATATGCTAAAATACAGGAAGATGGATTTGTTAAGCATGATGGGAGACAGTGTGACCCCACAGTCATTCAAAAGCTATGGATTGTTTGTAATCCTTGGAAGAGGATTCTTTGTCACCCATGCAAGTCATTACTTTGTTTTTCTTTAACTCCTGTATTCATCTGCATTAGCATTGGCATCCATTATTGTGATGCATAATTGCATGGTCATAGAATATGTTGGCATGAACTAACTACTCCTCTGTCACCCTAGGAACAAGTAAATTGCTCCATAAGGGCTCTAACCCCCAAAGGAGCTCATTGTTAACCTTGAATTTTGTAGGCTGCCATCCACAAACATTAGATATAAATATAATGAAATTTGTCACTGCAACTTTTTTTTCTTGTCCCAGGTAAAATTTCTTGGCAAATATTTAAAATAAGTATCTTACTGCTTCTTAGATTTTTAAAGAAATGTGTTTCCATGTAATGTGGATAGAACATGTAATTTAATATACTTTCCTATAGCAACAAAAAAGATAAGCACACTAATATTACTGGAATACATAAAGAATAGTTAAAAATGTAAAAGAATTTATATATACTGCAGTTGAGATAGATCGGACTAACATTTCTTTTTCCTATTTTAATAGTATCTCAAGTAAAAGATCTGACTTTGTTAGGGAAGCTAGGGCTATGATTATAACGACAGGAATGAAGCATGATGCTTGTTTTGGCAAAATACTTCAACCTTTTGTTACCTGGGTAATTTTTCCTGTATTTTTTTCATTTATTATTATTATATATTTTTCTAGAGATAATCACACAATATTTTTAAAGTAACAAAAAACTCATAACAGTGCTGTCTTCTATAGCACCTTGGAGCCACCTTGCAGATAGAAAAATCACTTTGCTATTCTGGGAGCCAAGCGCTGCCCTCCCTCCTCTGACTAGATCCTGGGCAGGCCACTCACATCATCGTAGATTCCTTTCCTTGGTAATTAGCATCTTTTAACCTTGGGAAATGTCATGGAACAGCGAATACCAAGATATCATCTTTGCCTAAACATAGATTCTAACCTTGACTCATTCTGAATTTAAATGCTGTGCGTATTGTATGCTGTTTTGTAGAGTGATGACAGAGAAACAGATACAGCATCAGAAAGCAGTTACCAGCTCAGCAGACACAAGAAGAGCCCGAGCTCTTTAACCAATCTTAGCAGCTCCTCTGGCATGACATCCTTGTCTTCTGTATGTAAACAAAGGCTCCGTGTTAATCTCTCTGCTGCTCTAAACCTTGCTTCGCATTGCTTTTGCTGATCGTAAAGTGACCTCCTGTTGTTCTCAGGCTCCAAGGGACAGAATTTTCTCTAATCCATAACTAGCTTCTGGTGAACTACATAATTTTTTTAAGAATAAGGAGCTTCCTATTCATTTTTGTGAATAAAAAATTTTAAGTATAAGTACTATACTTCAGAAATAAACTTAAATTACCAGAAAGATGTATCATTAAAATTTTCCATATAACAAATGGGGTAGCTATTATAAAATCTGTTTATATCAGATGCATTTTTATATACTGTTAAAGGCATGTAAGTGTATTTCTCTCTTTGATAAACTGGTTGAATAAATACACTGATTCGTACTGAAGAATAGTAAAGAGGAGTCTGCCTTGCAGAGAGGTATAGAACAGGGTTTTAAAAGGAAAATTCCCTAAGTTGCTGAGGTTTGACTTTACATGGAACTTCTTGAGTAAAGTGAGGGAGCTATGTGTGCATGTAGTATGTGTGAAGAAATACACATATGTAAATGTACTGATCCACACTTAGCTAAATATATGCATGCATATCCGGTATGCCAAACAAATGATGAAGTTGTGCTTAAATTCTCACTAGCCTTGCATTTCTGAAACCTTTTTTAAAAATCTATTTAAATTGATTTTCTGCTGATAATAAAATATTTGCCCTTGGGAAGTCTTTGAACCCCCTTCATCAATCATCCATTTTCTACCCTTCTTAACCTCCAAAAAAGTGCATGGCTCAGTAAGCATTTTTCTAGAGTCAGTGGGTAACATGGTAAAATTCCTTTTTAGTGCCTTGGAAATTTAAGCTATTTGTCACTGTAATTTGTGTGCCTGTAGTTTCTCATATTCTTTTTCTTTAGCATTTTAAATACTATGCATGCCTAAAAGTGGAACTTGGAATGCCATGTAGCATAAAATCACTCTGTTTTGAATGAGCCAGCGTCTAAATAACTGCATTTCTCTTTTCATCTGTGTCTTTTAAGAGAAACTTTAAAAAAATCCCTGGTGATGTGGATCACATCAGGTTACCTGTGTTAATATCTTTACCCCACATTAAATTAATTGTTTTTATAAGCACGGCAGAGCAATAATGCCAAGCAAGGATTATGTCTGTGGTCCTTGCATTGGTTTCAAGAATGTGGCTGAGACAAACATTGCATGTTTCTGATGTTTTCAGGTGAGTGGCAGTGTGATGAGTGTTTATAGTGGAGACTTTGGCAATCTGGAAGTGAAAGGAAATATTCAGTTTGCAGTTGACTATGTGGATTCACTGAAGGAACTGCATGTTTTCGTGGCCCAGTGCAAGGACTTAGCAGCAGCAGATGTTAAAAAACAGCGTTCAGACCCGTGAGTACATTTTGGAGTTACAGTACTTACTTGCCTGTAGTACTCAAGCCATTAATCCTATAAGAACTAGTAAGGAAAGAAAGTAATCAAAGGGAGGGTCTGTATGTGAGTATGTTAAATGGAGGTAGAAAAGAAAGCGGTATGATTTTTAATTATTTTTGCTGTGTGAAGCCCAGTGCCTTTCAAAAAATTATTATTATAAACACAATGGGCTCAACATCCTTTTTCTTATTCTTTTTTGCATCAACCATGGCTCAGTTAGATGTGTGCCAAGACTGATTTCTTTTCGGTAGCAAATGATTTAATAAAACCACAAACACCAAAACCTTTTCTCAGTAAGAAACAAACCAACAGATTTTGACACTGTATTAGAGATTTGGCCCCACCCTTTGCACACACATAAAAATCTTCAGAACAGTATTAAATGATCCATTCCACTAAAATCTCTTTAAAATGTTGAAGTATAAAGGTGTTTATTTAATTACTGCTTTGCTCAATGTTGTGAAATAATTTCTGTGGGCAGTTTTCACTGTGTTTTTTAAAAATAGAGTTAGGAGCATCACTTTTACCTCCTCTGAACATCTTGTCTATTCACATCTCTTTTTCAGATATGTAAAGACCTACTTGTTACCAGACAAAGGCAAAATGGGCAAGAAGAAAACACTAGTAGCAAAGAAAACCTTGAACCCTGTGTTTAACGAGATATTGCGGGTATCTATAAGCTCTCTATGAAGGAAAATCCTAAGGGTGACCTGGGCATTGAAATAGCTATGTCTTCTTGGATAATAGCTGCACATACTCACTAAGGGGAAGGAAGGAATGGAATGAACATTTTCTGAGAATGTGCTTTGTGTGAGATGATACAAATGAATGTACACACTTTATGTCACGTACTTGCTGTGCATTTCCTGTAGGCAGGTATTAGCTGCATGTCACAGACAGGCAAATGAAAGCTTAGAGAAATAGAAAACAATTTGCTTGAGGATATACAGTGAATAGTTTAGTGTTACAACCAGAATTATCTTCTATAGCACAATTCTGATCACTGTTTTTCCACTTAAAGTCTTTCAAGATTTCCAGTACCCTGAAGATCACATTCATCCTTTATAACATACAGACCAGTCCCTTTACAACATGAACTCCATTCTTTCAAAATATTTTTTTTTCTGGTCACCCACAGTCCCTTCTGTACTTTAATGAAAGTACATTTTCTTTCACTGCAGTGACTTTCCATCCCTTGAGTCTGTAATAGTCTTCCCCATATTCTTTCCCTAACAACCTCCCCTACACAGTCTTAAATGCTTATTCCTATAAGAGCCTGTCCTTAATAACCTCTGTTTCCCTGCCCTTTGCTACCTTAATTACATTGTTTAGCTATAGGTTGTTCTAATGCTCAGCACTTAAACTAGTAATTTAATTTTTCTACCTTGACACCAAATTTCAAGCTCTATGAGGGCAGGGGCCAACATTGTGTTGTGTTTATTCTGTACCTTTGAGCAAATAACATATCTGCACCTCAGATCTGAGAGAGGGGATAATGATATTTTGGGATCTGCAAAATGGAAATAATAGTACTTACCTACGTTAGTAGTTGTGGACATTGAAAGAGTTAATATGTGTGAAGTGATTAGCACACATTAAACATTTAACAAATATTGACTAGTAATACAATATCTAGGAAAGTACCAAAAAATATTTACAACACTTTTTCTCCCCTTCCTCCAAACTGCATTATGCTTGCTTTGTGGTGATTAACAGATCATTTAAAACTAAAGATATAAGAAGTATTCTTCTTTCTATCTTTCTGAAAACTCTTACATTTTTATTATCCTTTGGGAAAAGAGGAAGAATCAGTTAAACTCTAAGGTATCCGTGGTTGAATTAGCTACTTGTGGATTTTCTATAGCAAGTTTTTTGTTTTTGAGACAGGGTCTATCTAGCTCTATAGTACAGATTGGCCTTGAACTCACTATGTAGCCCAGGCTGGCCTTGAACTTGGGGCAATCCTCTTGCCTCAGCCTCCCAAGTGGCTGGAAGCACAGGCATGTACCACCATACCTGGCTTCAATAGCAAGTTGGTTTTTTTTGTGCTGGGGATCGAACTCAGGTCCTTGTGCTTATGAGGCAGGCGGCAGAACCACTGAGCTAAAATGCTGGGCCCACTAGCAAGTTTTTAATTACTATTTGACTATGATAACTCCAGAACCCAAGCTATTTATGGGTCAGCTACTTCAACCCTATACTCAGAAAAAGCCAGATAATTTACATGGTAAACTCAGAGAAAGGCAGGTTTTCTGCAACCAAAATGGACATTCAAGTAGTATTCCACAAAGCCAGATGGAGATTATTTTTAGAAGTACTATTATTTCTTCCTTGATTATATATAATCAAGGTTTGACTATATTTGAGATGAAAAACTGTCAGGATATAGTCTACTTGACCATATGAAGTCGGGGGGACCAAGTTTATCTTTTTTTTTTTTTTGGAGAGCTATCTTTCCCTTGTGGGATGTGACAGTGAGAAGTACATACGGAGGGGCAGGCAGTAATATGCAGACTCTGAGCTTTCTGCTCAAGGTTGCTGTAAACCTAAAAATGCTCTAAAAAACAAATACATTTTTGTAAGTACCTTATTCTCGGGTATAAAACAGAACTGGAGTAAATTTGATTGTATTTTTAGAATGAATTTGATTTATGTTGTATCTGGTCTAAAAATATCTAGAGAAATTGAATAATTGGCTTTTGTTTTTTAGAAAGCCATTACCAGCTATGATATTTGAGCCGTAGTTTGCCTCTCCAGAGGGGAAAGAATGTCAGCATTTATGAAAAATGGATTTTAGCTTTTAGAAACACAACGCTTAGAATAAGGTGACTTTGCAATATTTGGGGAACTTGAAACCTAAGAGATGAGAAAACCTGATCTACACAGATGACTTTTCTCTTCATCTCTGTGTCATAACTTTGGCATAATGTAACGTTATTCATCATTTTAATTTTCTTCTTTGAACTCCAGTATAAAATTGAAAAGCAAATCTTAAAGACACAGAAGCTGAATCTGTCTGTTTGGCATCGAGATACATTTAAGCGTAATAGTTTCCTAGGAGAGGTGGAACTTGATTTGGAAACATGGGACTGGGACAACAAACAGAATAAACAATTGAAGTGGTACCCTCTGAAGCGGAAGGTAAGCTGAGAGTTTCTGGGTTGGTTGATTAGTTGGTTGGTTAATTGGTTGTTGGGTTGGTTTGGTGGTCGGTTTGTGGCCTGGTATCCTGGAAAAAGCTCAGTTGTGTCTAACTCACAGTCTGAGTAGTTTGGAATCATTTTAAACTAGGACTGGACTTATTTAGCTTGCACATGCAGTGAAGAAAAAATGAAAAAGACTTAAGGAGAATGTTTAAATCACCTAAGAGAAATGTTTCCAAGATTTCAGGAAGGTCAGTTAAGTACTTCAATCCTTTGAAATGCCAGACATACTTCAAGCCTGGTGTATGGTCAGATTTTGATAAATGTTCCATGTGTCACTTGAAAAGAAAGTAAATTGCATGGTTGTTGGGTATAATGGCCTATATCAATTAAATTAATAATGGCTGATAAAATCTTTTATATCCTTACTGATTTTATGTTGGTGTGTATTATGAATTACTAAGAAAGATATGATTATGGATTTTTCTTATACTTTTAATAATTTTTAATTTATCTTGATGTTATGAAGTATGTACACATTTAGAATTGTTTTATTCTGATGAATTAACAGTTTTGTCTTTCAAAAATATGCCTTTTATCTCTGGTAATATTTCTTGTCTTAAAGTCTATTTTGTCTGTATTAGTATAGCTGTGTCAGCTTCCACAGTTATTGTTTACTTCAGTCTTTTAATTTTCAAACTTTCTGAATTCTTTTTTTTTGAAATACAGAAATCAAACTTGGGTCCTTGTGCTTGGTGAGGCAGGCAGCAGCACCACTGAGCTAAACCCCCAGCCCACTTTCTGAATTCTTGTAGTTAAGATACATTTTCTATAAGCAATAGTTTCAAATTGAAACTCTTTCAGTATGAAAATATTTTTTCCCCATTAAGTTTATTGGTACATTTGAAGCAAACAATGCAGTTACATTTATCATTGGGATCTTGGACCTTTACATGATATGTCTTGGTTCTTATTTTTTCCCCATTTCCTGACCTGCCTTCACCCATTTCACCCTTCCCTAGTTACAAAGACTTTGTTTCCATGTTTTCCTTTTTTCACATTTTTTCTTTTCCTTTATTTCCTTTCCCCTCCCCTTCCCAATTTCCCTTCCAATTCCCCTTTAGACATTTTCTTCCTATTTCACACTTTCAATTATAGCATTTGAACCTTATTTACACTTTTAGTTTTTCACACCAGAGAAACTATTCAGTATTTACTCAAGTGTGATCTATTTATTTCACTTAAAAGTTTAGCCTCAATGTGCATCCATTTAGCTATAAATGGCTCGTTTCTCATTCTTTATGTCTGAGTAGTATTCCATTTTATAGAAAAACCACATCTTCTTTAAAAATATTTATTTTATTAATTGGATTATCTAGCCTAATCATACTTAATGTAAATATTTTATATCTGGATGCAAATTTAAAATATTAATATTTTTATTATTTATCTTACTATTTCCATGATTGCCTCCTTTTAGATTATCATATACATCCATTTTCCTCTCTGTGTTACTATGTCAGTTATAGTTTTTTCTCTTTTTATTGGTTAATACACAGAATACAATATTCATCCTTGAACTGAAAGTGTCTAACATAGAGGTTGGAGTGTAGCTCAGTGACAGAGTGCTTGCTGAGCATGCACAGGGTCCTGGGTTTGACCATTAGCACTACCACCACCAACAAATGTATCTAATATAAATTAGGAATTTCACAACTTCCAGGATAAGGAAAGGAGCCAAGAATATTTGAACTTCATTTATTCATTCTCCTATCTTTTGTAGCATTTTTAGTCATGTTGTGATTATACAACAATTTTAAACCCATTTGACATTATTGTTTTATAATTTTTTCACTTAGATTTGACTATTCATTTAGATGTTTACTTCTCTATTTCTCTGTCTCCTTTCCTGTATGTCTACGTGGAGTTGTTCTTTGTGCCCAAAGACTTTGCGTTAGATCTACTTTTAGTGCTTGTCTACTGGCAATGGATTCTCCCAGGTTTTCATTGTACTGCGTCCTTTTCACATAAATCTGTGAAGACACTTTTTGCCCAGTTGCTAGGTTGGCAATTATTTCTTTGGACACTTTGACGATGTTGTTCCATTGTATTCCTAACTTCTGTCATTTCTATTGCAACATCAGCTATTAATCTTAGTTTTACTCTTTGAAGGTTATGTATCTTATTGCTCATATTTTATGACTGTTTTGTCTTTGATTTTTAACAGATTTGATATGAGTGTAAGCATAGCTTTTTTTGTATGTATTTATCCTGTTTTGTATTCATTGGTCTTCTAGGATCTAGGTCTTGGTATCTTTCATTAATTTTGAAGATTTCTCAACAGTTCTTTCTTCAAATACTGATTTTTCCTTAATTTTTCCCAGCCTTTATGGAACTTTTAACTACATGTATACTACACCTTTTAACTCTGTCTCATATGTCTTTTATGCTCATTTCTGTATTTTATAATTTTTCCTCTATGCTACAGGCTATTTTTTGCTAGCCTGTCTTCCAGTTCAATAATTTAACCTTCTTCTAATCTATAGTTTATGCTCAACTTCAATATAAAATTTATATATTTTAGATTTAGATCTTCTTTTGGCTCTGTTTTGATTTCATTTTTTGCTAAAGTGTTATCTTTACAAATATAGCAATCACAGTTATTAAAAGTATGTATCTTAGAATTTTAATATCTTAGCCATTTTTGAGTCTCATGTATTTCTTTTTAAATCCTAGTGTGATCACTTGGTCCTTTGTCTTAGCATACCTGTTCACTGTTTATTGCATGTGAGGCATCATATATGAAAAAATTCTGGGGACAATTTGAGAGGGTTTATTTTGCTCCTAATAGAACAGACCAACCACCTTAACATAGTCTGGAATGAGCTGACTTGAAGGTCATGTTCAGTTTCTGATCTAGTTGTTATTTGTTTGCATTTCTATGCTGTGGTCCTTTAGGGGTTTCAGATGAAAACCTGGGGAAATAGTTCTGAAATTTTAGCAGGCATCTGATTCACCAGAAAGGCTTGGTAAAACACAAATTCTGGATGCTGTTCCCAAAGTTTCTGATTCAGTTAGTTTTGGGACCACCCAAGAATATCCATGTTTAACAGGTTCTCAGGTAACACTGATGCTGCTGACCTGGAGACCATACTTTGAAAACCATTGGTCTGAGGTAGTTTTCCAGTGGCATTGCTAATTAGCAGGCCATGAATTCCAGTACATGTTCCCCACCCCATGAGACTGCTAAAAGCTCTGCTCAGCCTTATCAATATCCCTCAGATTGGCTTTTTATATTCTGTTTGGAACTATGTAAAAAGCAGCCAGGACTTCAAAGTGAGAAGCAGTGAAGAATGTTAAGCTCTAAAATCTTGTCCATTTAGCCAGGAATTGGTAGCCCATGTGTATAATCCCAGCATTTGGGAGGCTGAGGCAGGAGGATCATTGTGAGTTCAAGGCCAGCCTGGGATACGCAGTGAGTGCAAGGCTAGCCTGAACTGCATACAAGACCCCGTCTCAAAAAGAAAGACAAAAAGATCTTATATCCATTTGAATCCTTTTGTGTTTCAATAATTCTTTAACATCTTCAAATTGATTATTTTAATCTTGCTTTTTTAATTTTTGTCAATGTGAAGGTAGATTTGGTCCAAGCTAATCTACCACAGCTAGAAGTGATACATACAAACAATACAAATATGGTATTTCTGAGGTGCGATAAAAAATACAGTGAATAAAAATTTTATTTTAAAAAATTACAATAAAATACAAATTGCCATTAATTTCTCTCAAAATACTCAACTTCACTTCCAACATAGCCCATCATTCTTGTCACTTTTTGAAGCTGTTCTGGAAATCCTCTTTTCTGAGTCTTTTTAGTTGTGCTGTTGTCACTGCCAGGATGTCCTGAACTGATTCAAAACATTTAACTTTTGGGCAGGGGATTTAGCTCAGTGGTACCACCCCCTGCCTTGCAAGTGTCAGGTCCCAAGTTCTATCCCTTGTGTGTGTGTGTGTGTGTGTGTGTGTGTGTGTGTGTGTGTGTGTATAAATTAACTTTCATGGTCATTTTGAGTTTGGGGAAGAGCTAGAACTTGCACAGTGCCAGATCCTGTGAATATACATCTCTTTCCACTGGATGCATTCAGCAGTATTTATTGTATGTTTTATCACATCCCCTAAAGACACTCAGGAAAGACAACTTCCAGAACTGCTTCAAAAAGTGGCAAGAATGGTGGGAAAAATATTTTGAAGAAAAAGGAAGTATTTTGAGAGGGATTAATGGCAATGTGACTTTAAGTGCAATAAATTTTAAATATTTAAACATTCACTGTAAAGTTCATTGATACTTTGTACATAATAAAACAGTTCCACTAAATAAATCCCAAATGTTGCATGAAAATTACTTTAATCACTTATTTCTAGCTCTACATGGGGCCTCTGGATATGAATTCCTTGGAAAATGTCTAAGTATTATATTAGTAGACTTTCCTGTCACTATGACACAATACCTGATACACCCACAACTTAAAGGAGAGGAGGGTTAACGTGACTCACAGTTTCTGAAGATTCAGCTCATCGTCAACTGGCTCCAAGGCAGAAATATCCTAGTGGAAGGACTTGACAGCAAAGATGCTAGTTTATGATAGTGGCTGGAAAGCAGAACAGGCAAACAGTGCTGGCAAGGAAGGGGTGAGGGTCCAGACTTAGACCCCAAGGCCACACCTCCATGACCCACCAAGACAAACCCAGAAGTGTGCTCCACCAATCCCAGATCAGAAGCCAAAGACAATCGAGATGATTCACCATCTTAACCACCACAAACATCTTAGTTTTACCAAGCCTCCATTATGTTTCTAATGCATACCCATCTTTTGGAACTAAGGCCCTAGCCAACCAAAAATTGAAAGTAAGACCATCTCTTTTATGCTTGGAAATAATATACATATTTTAAAGTTATTGTCCAGTCTCTGTTATTCTTACAGACTCCTACACAGTCTCTAACATCAAGTTAATACAGCTTTGAAAATATAAGATTGTACACTGGCTGAATGACTAACAAAATGTGTGTGTTCTTATAAAAACGAACATATCCCAGGACACTTTTTGCATCTCCAAGCAAACCATTCTGAATTCTCTACCATTTTTGAGGTTGAAGACCATGAAATATTTTCCGGGCACCCTGTGAATTTTTCCAAGATACATGGCATTACTTTTCCAGTTATAAAAACAATATCCTATCCCGGGTACAGAAGTGAATTTGAATTCAGGGCACTCATGAATGGTACATATTCCCAGAAATGGGCCAGATGGTTCTGTAATAGAGTACCTACAAACAAGATTTTTAAAAATTTGTGTCTCACAACTACTAACATTCCTTTATTTTTCAGACAGCACCAGTTGCCCTTGAAGCAGAAAACAGAGGTGAAATGAAGCTAGCTCTCCAGTATGTGCCAGAGCCAATTCCTGGTATGTAATGATTTTCTACTCACGTCCATGTTCTTTCCTTCTCCCTCTTCTCACCAAAGGTTTTCAGAGTAGAACCACCTGTACTGCCAAGATATAGTCCTTCTTTTAACTCTCCTCTCATTCTCCAACAATATGTATCTATATAATTTAAATGGCCTTTCCGGTATTCATAAGTTGGGTCTCTTGATAATGCTGTGATAAGAATGGAACTTGAGTAATCTTTCATGGGTGGGAACTAGAAGAATTCATAGAAAGTCCTTAAGAAATTAGAACTCTCTCTGAGAGTCTCGTTAAGGGATAAAGCTTTTCTGCTCCAGTTTACTATATCATCCTTGACTTTGGGGCCTCAGGTCTTCAGCCTGGTTAAAGAGCAAAAGCTGGCAGGAAATGAATGTCAGCGCCTGCACTGTCTCCCAAGCAAGTTCCCCCAAAGTGTGCTCCTTAGAACGTATGAATGTTACGGCTGAAATTAGGGATTGCAGGCTCAAATGTTTTCAGTAATCAGGAAGTAAAGCAAATGATATGAAAGAAATAGTAGATGGTAAGGGCAGTAGCTGAACTAGGAAAAGGCATGCTAATTATATTTTTTAAAATTCAAAGGATGCTGGGTGTTGTGGTGCACACCTGTAATGCCAGCACTTAGGAGGCTGAGGCAGGAGGGTTGCTACAAGGTCAAGGCCAGTCTGTACTACATAGAGAGACCCTGTCTCAAAGAAAAAAAAATTGAAGGGTAAGGAAAGCATATATGAGGGCCAAATTGCTGCCAGTCCACCACCTTGTGACTTGTAGATCTTTTTAAAATGCAGATTCTTTTGCATTTAATTTGCATCCTATCACTTATGATCAACATGCATAAAAATACCAACCTTATATTCTGTTTTCCTCACTATCACTTGATAGTTGGGGGACCCAGGGAATTGTGTGATGTGATGGGTTGACAGACTTTTTTTTTAAGGCAGGGTCTCACTTCATAGTTTAGGCTGGCCCTGAACTCACTATGTAGCCCAGCCTGGCCTCAAACTTGTGATCCTCCTCCCTCAGCCTCCTGAGTGCTGGGATTACAGGCATGTGCCACCACACCTGGCTTACACTCAAATATTTTTAAAATGCCTTCAACTGATACCAATTGATATTGGTATTAATGTTTGAAAGGATTATTCATTTTGTTGAGATGCTTTGAGTATAATTGTAAGTGGATGATTCACATCCCTGCTGATTTTATTGAACCAAGTAAAACCCAAAAAGAATAATGAGATGCTTCATAATTGAAATCAATATGAATTTTTTTCATTCTTAGGAATTATTTTCATAGTTATCTGAGCTCAGTATAACCAGACTATGAAAGATACAGTTTAGAGAATATAGTTTAACCAATTCAATACCATCAAGTACTAGCTAGTATCCTTGAGCTAGACCATTTTTAGGCTGACATCTTTAGATTTGTCATTGTGAAGAGACAAATAGCTATAAAATTTTTTTCTCCTTTTTAAAAATTATAGGTAAAAAGCTTCCAACAACTGGAGAAGTGCACATCTGGGTGAAGGAATGCTTTGATCTTCCACTACTAAGGGGAAGCCATCTAAATTCTTTTGTTAAATGGTAACAGCATTAATTAGTTGGCCTTCTTCTGGTCTACTATAGCCTCACTTTTGCTGGTTGGTTTCAGCTTTCTACATCTGTGATACTAAAATTTATTAGTTATAGTTTGAGTTCGTTTAGAACAAATAGAGACATGAACTTTAGGAATCTGTAGCATGAATTTCTAAAGGTTCATTTAGTTTTAAATCATGACTGTAAGAGTGGCCAGGCATGGTAGTGCATGTCTGTAATCCCAGATCTCTAGAGGCTGATGTGGGAGGATCCTTGCAAGTTTGAGGCCAGTCTGATCTACAATAGTGAGTTCAAGGCCAGCCTGAACTGCATAGCAACCTCCGTCTCCAGAAACACTAAGAGGTCATAAGAGACAGATGAAACCGAGACATCGAACTCAGATATGTAAGGTGATTTTTGGATATATCCATTTGTAAGGTTTATCATATTTCCAATAGTGAATGTCTTTGGCTCCTTTGTGGAGTAGGAGAAATTTCTTTACTCCTTTGTCCCTTATATTTTGTGGCCCATTTGCAAAGATTCTTTGTATCAGAATGCAGATATTTGGAAAATGATTTGCTGCATAAGCCCCTACTGAGATTTAGCTCATTAGAGCTTCAGATAGTTTAGGCTTTTAAGCAGTAAATTTTTTCTCTATTATACATTCAAAGTGTCTAGCATCTAGTGAATAATAATCAGATTACTATGATATCCTTGTTCCCTCTAATTTTATCTATGTAGATTCTACCAGAAGACAGTAGTTATTTAAATAGATTTTAATATATGATGTTATTTCATTCTCCCTATACATTTTTCACAGATGTCAGCCAGTAAAATTTTTGAACTCAGATCCAATATAGTCCTCTTTTTCTTTTTTTGGATACTGGGGATCGAACTCAGGTCCTTTTGCTTATGAGTCTGGCAGCAGAACCACTGAGCTAAATCCCCAGCCCGCATATTGGCCTATATTGAAACTACTCTTAAACTTTTTGGCCTTCATAAGAGATGTGGTACATTAAAGTTCATTCAATTACAACCTTAAATAAAGCATAAATGATAGCAAAATATAATATTATTAATTCTCAAAGTCAAATCTAGCAAATTGAAGAGGATTCTCTTCTTTTTCAACTCTGTGTAGCAGTAATTCCTTGGGCTATCCTAGATGATCAGGAATAGCCTGTATTTTTAAATTTTAAAGAAATTCTCAGGCAATTGCTACTAAACTCAAGTACCATGTCTGTCCATAAGATTTTTTTCATGTGTTATTTGATTCTAATATCAACCTTTTCATGTCAGCATCACCATTCACACTTTGTAAATAAGGAAGCAAGTACCTGAGAGGCTAAGCAACTTTTCCTAAAGTGTGCAGTCAATGAGTGGCAGACTCAGGATTCAAATTAAGTCTACCCAGCTCTATTTCCAGTCTTTCCAGCACAGTGCACCTTTCTCTCCCTTCGGCCAAACCACCAGCACTATCTCTCCAGTCTTTCCCCCTCTATAACCAATCTTTAGTAGCTGTGCTGAAGTGTATTGGAATACAAGTTCACTATCTTACTGAAATACTCTCACAATAATGCCTCTCTTTGTAGTACCATTCTTCCAGATACCAGTAGGAAAAGTCGCCAGAAGACAAGAGCTGTAGGAAAAACCAACAACCCCATCTTTAACCACACCATGGTGTACGATGGGTTCAGACCTGAAGATCTAACGGAAGCCTGTGTAGAGCTCACTGTCTGGGACCATTACAAATTAACCAACCAGTTTTTAGGAGGTCTTCGGATTGGCTTTGGAACAGGTAACATTTGTTACATTTTTAATTCTGCATGAGCCAGATACTCCTGGAGACATTAGAAATCTGTTGCTTTGCTTCTTTCTAATGACAATAGATATTTTATATCCATGAAGTATAATGGAGTGAAGGAAGGAAGGAATTTCAGGCCATGTGCCAAGGCCTCTGGTTATGAAGATTAACAGGGTACAGTGTCTGCATATAGCGCTCAAGTTACTGTTGGGGTAGGGATGGGGAACAGGAGTTATCACTACTTTCCACTGAAAACACATCTGTGGTCCTTCAGGGCTAACGGTGTACTTTGAGTAATAATAACTAATATTTATGGAGCACTAGTCACTGTATTAAATGTTGCATTTGTATTATTTCATTTAATCCTCATAACAGTACTATGAGATATTTACTAATATTATCTCCAAAGGAACTGATAGCCAAAAAAAAAATTTTTTTCTGGTACTGGGGATCGAACTTGGGACCTGGTGCTTTGGAGGCAAGTGTGGCACCACTGAGCTAAATCCCCAGCCTGATAGCCAAAAATACTAAGTGACGGAGCTATTCATGGAAGGATTCAAGATTCTAGATTGAGTCTGCTTGGCCCTAAACACTTAACCTCACTTCCTAGGAATGATCAAATGTCACCTCCAATGCAGTGCAGAAGCCTTTTAATTCTTTTATGCCCCTAATAAATTTTTGTTTGTTTTGTTTTTTGAGACAGGATCTTGCTATATAGTTTAGGCTGGCTCTGTACTCACTGTGTAACCTAGGCTAGCCTTGAACTCATGGTGATCCTCCTGCCTCACCTCCAAGTACTGAGATTACAGGCATGCATCAACCCCTGATAAATTTTTTAAATTAATTTTATTGGTACATTTAATGTATACAATATAATGGCATTCATTGTTGGAAATTTGTACCTTTACATAATCAACCTTGGTTCTTATTTTTGTGATAAATTTTCATCCAGCTTTTACATTCATGTGACGAGAAATCATTGTTCTTGGAATTATGGGAATGATCTCAACAAAGGAGTCACTCAGCTGGTCAAAATAATTACATTTCCTTATATTGTGTCCTAAATCTGTTTTCCATTGGTGGTTAGTACTAGGGAATCACACACCCATGTTCCCCAGTGAGTTATTCATTTTTTTTTTCTTGGTACAGGGGATCAAACTCGGGACCTTGCTCTTGTGATGTGGTACATTGCCACTGAGATAAATCCCCAGCCCTGAGTTATTCATTTTTAAATGCAAAACTTCCTTTTTTTCAGGTAAAAGCTATGGGACTGAAGTAGATTGGATGGATTCCACTTCAGAGGAAGTTGCTCTCTGGGAGAAGATGGTAAATTCCCCCAACACTTGGATTGAAGCCACACTGCCCCTCAGAATGCTTTTGATTGCCAAAATTTCCAAGTAAGCGCAGAGTCTACTGGCTTCTCCACTGAAAATTATTACATAGATGGAACCTGATCGTGACAAAAATCTTCACTTCCTATTTGTCACTCTTGATGAACGCTACACAGCACATTAAAGTCAGTCTGCATGTGTTTGTTTTAGTACAAGGCCCAAGGGATTTAAATAATGAGAAAATGTGTGGCTTACTTATGATTCCAACATTAACGAAGATATTTGACCAAGCTAGGAAAACTTAACTGTTCCTGCTTCTTCAAAGAAAAAGCTGCCAAGAAATACTGAATGTGGGTTATTTTCAACCAGCAAAATTTTCTAGTTTGCCATTGTGTGTTTCATACCCCAATCTTATGTTCCAGTTAAGATCTTCTACTTGATTACCAGAAAATGTAGGACTTGTAAATAGGTAGAAAAATATAATAGAACATTATTCGTGGGATGGGGCTGGGGGAAGAAGAATATCAATGATGACAAAGAATTATACAATAAGACAAGTATATATTAGGTAATCTCCAATATAAAATGGAATTCCATGGTAGAGTAATAAGACTGATTTACTGCATTTATTTTTGCCTTCAGAAACTGCTTGCCCTTTTCCTTGGATTCAAATGTACTTTGGTGCCACCCACTGGCTAAAGTGGAATTCAGTTCTTGGCTTATTTTGGTTTAATTCTAACCTAAAATAGGTCTGTATTTTATAATAAAGTACGTTTTAAACAAACTTGCATAATATGATTGTTTTTCTTACAGCTTTATATTACATGAATTCAGCATAAGGGTGGTTCACAGACATGCTTTGCACAAAGTTTAAATTAGAATATAAATTGTTCAATTTTACTATACTTCCTATGTGTGTATAATATTCATAAAATATTTTATAAAATCCCTTGGAATAAATTATCAGTTTATATTCTATTGGAAAATTAGCCTGACTTTATGTTTTAAATACATTTTTATTAGTGCATATTAATTTACAAAGCACTGGGTTTCAATATGGTATTTTCATACATGCATATAACATTTTGATCATATCTATCTCCACATTACCCTCCCTTATCCCTTCTCCTCTCCTTTTGTTCCATAGCTCCCACAAAAATAATACTTTTTTTAAATGAAATATTTTCTATTAAAAATACTAAAGTCTAGCCAGGCATGGTGACTCTCGCCTGTAATCCCAGCACTTGGGACACTGAGGCAGGGGGATTGCTGTGTTTGAGACCAGCCTGGGTTACATAGTGAGATCCACAGCAGTCTGAACTACATAGTGAGACCCTGTCTCAAAAAACAAAAACAAACAAAAAATACTAAAGTCTAAAATCCCTAACAAGGTTAATGAACTTTTGTCAGTCTGATATTTCTCCATAGTCTTTAACTCTTGGCATCATTTCACTTAAAGGACACCTTTGGCTATGTTATTAAGAGTAGAAGGGGGGTTCCTAGCATATGAGAGGCCCTGGGTTTCATCCTCGTAGAACTTTTATTTTAAAAAGAGTAGTTGAAAAACTTGAAGATAGATTAATATTTATCCTTAGAAAGTTTTCTGATTTTAGTACTCAGAACATTTCTCCCCCTTAGGACCCAATAGCTTACTTTTCTCAAAAAAGTACTGATTTAAATGTAGGTTGGGAAGCCTGGATAATGAGTGAGCACAGGATCTTACAATAGGCATCTAGTAAATGTCATTAAAACCACAAGAGTGCTTCCCTCCTTCCGAAAATAGATTTTAGAGTCTTTTGTCCACTTGCCAGTAAGAGGGACTAACAGGACAATCCTCTTTCCTTTGTCTCCCTCATCTGTTTTGGAAGTGCTTAGCTCTATTATCTCTGACCTTGCTTGGGAAAGGCGATGAATTAAATAGCCGCATCTCCAAGTTGCTTGAAACAATAGCAGCAGTGCAAACCCCATTCTGACTTGTGCCCTGTCATTACAAAGTGCTTTCTTGCCCTCTATCAATTACCTGGTCAGTTATCTTCTGGCATGCATCCAGGTCCGGTGTATTAATGAGATTATTTCTGGTATCACCCACCTAAGAGGAGGATGGCCTGTCCCATACCCAGATCTCTTACTTTTAAAAGATCACAGTGAACAATGGAACCAATAGTCCCATCTACCCACAGCACATCCAGCTGCCTCAGAATCACAAAGGGAATTCATGAAGCATTGTCTTCTGGAAAAGAAAATACAAATCATAAATTTAATCTCACCTGGCCACAAGAAGAATGCTAAGTGTGAGTTTCCTGAATTTTAAAATGAAAGCAACCTAAATTTTGTAGGGATCTTGGGTTGACAGGCTTTTTTTTTTTTTTTTTTTTTTTTTTTTTAAGACAAGGTCTCAGCGTGCATTTCAGGCTGGCCTTGAACTCACTCTGTGACCCAGGTTGGCCTCGGAGTTGAGGCAATTCTCCTGTCTCAGCATCCTGTGTGCTGGGATTATAGATGTGCACCACCACACTTGGCTTTGACAGGCTTTTGAACCAGTGTAACTTTTAGGCAAGGACCCTGCTGAAACTTCAGAGTATATTTTCTTAAACTGGAAGCATTTCCTTTGACTGCATATTGTAGAGCATTCATTTATTTATTTATAAACTCAAAATAAGCAAGAAGGGGAGATTTATTGGGCAGACACAGCCCATGGAAATCCAGGTTACTCTGGAGGCTTAAGGCTGGAATCAGGAACTCAAATGCTGTCTCCTCCCTCAAGGAGGGGGAAACAGTACATCTAGCAGCTCTAGTATCACAGCTGTGCCACTTCACCTCTCTTTTTAGGTTCTGCTAGGGAAATCTGTGAGGGAAACTGGCCAGCCTCCGACCCAATCCCCACGATTGGACCATTTACTGTGACCAAGAATGGATAAAGTAAGATCTCATGATTCCCGCAGCCTGGGTAACGTGCCTACCCCGTGTCCATGGGGAAATAGTTCATGGGGTGTTGTGGAGATTTGGACAGTGGAGAAATCAAGAGCTATGCATTCATCTTATTTTGAATCTTTCTTGTGTGAAAACATTTCAAAATTCCATTTTTTTTAAAAGGAAGTAATATTTCTAAGGATCACTGATGACTCTTTCCAGAGGCCCAAATTCTCAACCCACCCTGACTACTGTAACTTCTAGGCAGATAATGATTATCCTGCAAACTTCCTGGCCTACTTGTGTGACCTAAGAGTCCCCTGGCAACATGATTACTATTAGCCTAGGCCAACTTCTTCTAGATTGGTCTACCACCCTTTTGTTCTCCTTATTTATGTTTTCCAGAAAACTTGCTTGGACTTTTTTGGTACATGCCTGTCATCCATAAATTCTGCCTTCTTTGATACTCTTGTTTCCCTTCTGTTTGGGGTTTGCTCTCCTGTCTCTTCTCTTGTCTCCTCCACTCCTTCTTACTTACTGATTTCACTAGTTTGTTTCATGAAACAAACTATGCTCCTACATACTTAATTCAATCACAGAACATTTCTTCTGCTTATTTGGGTGGCTTGTCTGAAAACTGTTTTATCCTCAGCAGTTTCAACATGGAAATCCAGTCTGTCATACCCAGTACCTCAGGTAGGATTTAGTATTAGACTTCAGATCATTGCTTCTCTCTCTCCTTGTTATCATCTGCTTCCTTTTTTTCCCTCACTTTTTTTCACTGTAAGATGCTTGGGGCTCATCTTATATATATATATATATATATTTTTTTTTTTAATGTAATAGTAGATGTTTGGGGTACATAATACTACTTGCACTGTGGGCATTTGGTACACGTACAGGACATATCTTAATTCTTTTTACATCCCTTTCCCTTTAATTTCCTTTCCCCTTCCCTCCATCCCCTGATCCCCTTCATATTTGCGGAAAACCTCTCTCCGTTTCCTATTATCTATCTTTTGTTTTGCTCATTACTTTATTTATACTTTGGACTTCTCGTATAAGAGAAAACGTGGTATTTAAGCCTGTGGGTCTATTTTACTTCACTTAGCATTGTTTTCAAGGTGCATCTATTTCCCTACATTCAATTCAAATTTGTCTTTCTTTATGGCACAGTATTCCATTATGTGTAGACACCACATTTTCTTTATTCATTCATCTATTGATGGACATATAGGCTGCTTCGAAGATTTAGCTATTATTAATTATAATGCTGTAAATAATGCTATGCGTGTATCACTGTATGATACATAACTCAGCAAGACACCTTGTAGGAGAATATCTGGGTTGAATGGAATTTTTAGTTTTAGTTCTTTGAGGAATCTCCCTGTTGATTTCCATATGGGTTATACTAGTTCACATTCCTACCAGGCATGTAGGAGGGTTCCTTTTTCACATAGCTTTGCCAACATTTGTTATTATTTGATTTCTTGATGATTGCTTTTTATTTTTTTGCTAAGATAAAATCTCAGAGTTGTTTTAATTTACATTTCTCTGACAAGCAAAGTTGAACATTTTTCTGGTATTTATGGGCCTTTTAAAATTTCTTCTTCTGAGAAGTATCTATTCATTTCCATTGCCCATTTTTTTATTGGGTCTTGTATTTAGGGGGTTCTAATTTTTTTTAGCTCTTTATATAGTCTAAATATGAGTCCTCTGTCCAAGATATAGCTAGCAATTTTTTTCCCATTCTGTAGCTTGTCTCTTTACTCTGTTGGTTGTTTCTTTTGCTGTGTAGATTTGATATGAATCCATTTGTGGACTCTTGCTGTTATTTCTTGTACAATTGGGGTTCTTTTCAGAAAGTCATTACCTATTCCTATGTTTTCTAGAGTTTTACCTAGTCTATTTTCCAGCAGATTGAGCTTTTCTGTATTAATATTTAGATCTTTGATGCATTTCAATTTTACTTTAGTACATGGTGAAACATAACGGATCTAGGTTCAATAGTTGGCAAGTGGAAAGCCAGTTTTCCTAGCACCATTTGTTAGAAAGGCTATCTTTCCTCCAGCGAAGGTATTTATCTCCCTTGTCAAAGACAAGGTAGTAAGAGTGCCTGGAGTTTTTTCTGCATGCTCTGTTCTGGTACATTGACCCACAAGTCTGTTTTTATCCCAATACCATGCTGTTTTTTATCATGTTTTTGTAGTTTTGTAGTATAACTTGGTCAAGTATTGTGATGCCTCCTGCTTTGTTCATTCTGCCCAGGATTGCTTTTACTATTCTTGGTCTCTTATTTTATATGAATTTTAGGATTTTTTAAAATTTCTATTGGAAATGCTTTTGGTATTTTGATTGAGATTGCATCAAATCTATATATCAGATTTGGAAGTACTGCCATTTTGACAATGTTCATTATGGCTATCCAGTAACAGGGGACATCATTCCATTTTTGGTGTCCTCTTTGATCACCTTTTTCCTAGTACCATAGTTTTCACTGTAGAGGTTTCAGTTCCTTGCTTAGATTAATTCCAAAGTACCATATTTAATTTATTTTGATACTGTGGTATTTTTTCTAATTTTTTCCTCAGTGAGTTCACTTTTTATGTATAAGAACACTATTGATATCTGTGTGTTGATTTTGTATCCTACCTTGCTAAATTTGGTTATTCTAGGAGTCTTTTGATGCAATATTTTTGTAAAGGATCATATTATCTGTAGATATAACTTGATTTCTTCCTTTCCTATGTATATATTCCTTTTATCTCTTTCTCTGGCTAATGTTTCAAGTACTATATTGAACAGGAGCAGTGAGAGTGGATATGTTTGTCTTGTTCCTTATTTTAGAGGAAATGTTTGCAGTTTCTCCCCACTAAAAATGATGTTGGCCATTAGTTTGTTATACATGACTTTTATCAGATGAAGGTCCTTTTGTATCTATTTTCTTAGAGGATTTTATCATAAATGGGTATTGAATTTTGTTAAAAAGCTTTTTCTGTATCTATTGATGCAATCATGTGATTTTTGTCATTGTTTCTGTTTGTGGGATGTATTACATGTATTAGTTTGTATATGTTGAACTATCCTTGCATTCCTAGGATTAAACCTGTTTGGTTATGATGTATGATCCTTCTGATGATTTGTTGAATTCTGTTTGCCAATATTTTGTTAAGGATTTTTGCCTCTGTATTCATAAGGAGTTTGGGCTGTACTATTCTTTTCTAGTTGGATCTTTG